AGGGTTTAGGGTTGTGTAATGGTTTAGGGTTGGGTAAGGGTTTAGGGTTGGGCTAGGGTTGGGTTATGGTTTAGGGTTGGACTAGGGTTAGGTAGAGATAAGTTCATGTCTAAGAGGGTGTAGACTGGGTTGAATTCTAGATTGGAGAACCATGGCGCCAAGACAATGAAGCTCATTTGGAATCTCAAAGGTTTCAACCATTAAACGAATACACACATTGGGTATATTTTGACTGTATCCCCTGCCCTATATCTATACTACAGTGAGGTAATACCTTATAAAGTGTGGTTTTTTATAGAAATTCTCATTGACAGGGTTTTTAGTACTATCATAATTTCTCTGTGTCTCACTCTCTTTCTTCATAATTAGAAAAAGGCAAAGTAGACTTTACATTGTAGTACAATATTCGGCACTGCTATGAAAATTATCTTCCTAAAAAATATAATGATAGCTACATGCTTTAACTGAACAATTAAAAACAATACAGTTTTCACATATCACAATCACCACATTGTTATATTTTATATTCATAAATGTGATTTTTCTCATCAAAATCCACATGTTTTCACGTCACAGCTGAAGCTAAATTATTTTCTAATTTTGAAATAACAGCTATTTTATCTCTTTGTGACAGGATATATACCGGTAACTCTTTTTAGTCTTTATTGGTACAATTATGGTGGCAGTGAAGGCAAACTTGTTCGTGAAGGATTTTTTAAAGGTAAAATTTTGAGATTAGATTGTTAGGCCAGAAAAAAGCATATTATTAAAAATAATATTTTGGTAGAAACCAACAAATAATCCAGTGCATTTCTGGTTTTAATTACTTTATCAAAATTAATGATAACATCTTCTTGATGATGAAAACAAACTTTCAAATATTTAATATTCGACTCAATTACCAATATTAGGATATACAACTAAGTTACCCATACCAAAAAGATTTTATTTAATTTTTTTTTACAAAACTGAGGATGAAAGAAGTTCAATTGCTGATTAATTACAAAAATTACACTGTTACCAATGAATGATCACAGAATTGGTCACAAAGTAAATTAATTATTGTCATTTGGTCACAAAGTAAATTAATTATTGTCATTTGGTCACAAAGTAAATTAATTATTGTCATTTGGTCACAAAGTAAATTAATTATTGTCATTTGGTCACAAAGTAAATTAATTATTGTCATTTGGTCACAAAGTAAATTAATTATTGTCATTTGGTCACAAAGTAAATTAATTATTGTCATTTGGTCACAAAGTAAATTAATTATTGTCATTTGGTCACAAAGTAAATTAATTATTGTAATTTGGTCACAAAGTAAATTAATTATTGTCATTTGGTCACAAAGTAAATTAATCATTGTCATTTGGTCACAAAGTAAATTAATTATTGTCATTTGGTCACAAAGTAAATCAATTATTGTCATTTGGTCACAAAGTAAATTAATTATTGTCATTTGGTCACAAAGTGAATTAATTATTCTCATTTGGTCACAAAGTGAATCAATTATTGTCATTTGGTCACAAAGTAAATGAATTATTGTCATTTGGTCACAAAGTAAATCAATTATTGTCATTTGGTCACAAAGTAAATTAATTATTGTCATTTGGTCACAAAGTAAATCAATTATTGTCATTTGGTCACAAAGTGAATTAATTATTGTCATTTGGTCACAAAGTAAATTAATCATTGCCATTTGGTCACAAAGTAAATTAATCATTGTTATTTGGTCACAAAGTAAATCAATTATTGTCATTTGGTCACAAAGTGAATTAATTATTGTCATTTGGTCACAAAGTGAATTAATTATTGTCATTTGGTCACAAAGTAAATTAATTATTGTCATTTGGTCACAAAGTGAATTAATTATTCTCATTTGGTCACAAAGTGAATTAATTATTGTCATTTGGTCACAAAGTAAATGAATTATTGTCATTTGGTCACAAAGTGAATTAATTATTGTCATTTGGTCACAGTGTAAATTAATTATTGTCATTTGGTCACAAAGTAAATTAATTATTGTTATTTGGTCACAAAGTAAATTAATTATTGTCATTTGGTCACAAAGTAAATTAATTATTGTCATTTGGTCACAGTGTAAATTAATTATTGTCATTTGGTCACAAAGTAAATGAATTATTGTCATTTGGTCACAAAGTAAATTAATTATTGTCATTTGGTCACAGTGTAAATTAATTATTGTCATTTGGTCACAAAGTAAATTAATTATTGTCATTTGGTCACAAAGTAAATTAATTATTGTCATTTGGTCACAAAGTAAATTAATTATTGCCATTTGGTCACAAAGTAAATTAATTATTGTCATTTGATCACAAAGTAAATGAATTATTGTCATTTGGTCACAAAGTGAATTAATTATTCTCATTTGGTCACAAAGTAAATGAATTATTGTCATTTGGTCACAAAGTGAATTAATTATTGTCATTTGGTCACAAAGTATGATAATATTATTATATAGATTTCTTTGTAGGTCTATTAAGACAAAGATACCAGATGGTTTTCTCAGTAGGTGATGTGTAATATTTGAACATCGTGAGAACTTTGTCTTTTTATACGTCACATTGCTAGTTTGGACAGCACCAGAAGATCAATTCAACCAACAAATCAATCGTGAGCTATGAAGGTTTTACGAATAATCCGTCGAATTCGTTATACAAAATATATTTTACCATCTCTTACTTTCTACATTTTATTAAGTATATTTATATTCGATATTTCTCGTAAAAAGTTTTTAAAATACGGAAGATACTACGCAAATGACAATTATTCAAAATCTGGAATTCATCCTCGTCATAACCCCTGGATGGTTTTTGACCCTTGCTCAAAAGACACCTTGGAAAATATGGGGCAACCGAATTATGTGTGCAGCTGGCTCCGGGATCGCACTAGTGACCAAACTGGAAATTTCGTTATATTTGGAAAGGAATTAGCCCAACTACAAAACGTCATTATAGATCCGGATCAAGCTGAAGGACATCCAGGTGGTGAAAATATGACTTTGGTTTTGAACCAAGATGAGAATTCCGAATATCTCAAACTTAATCAATCATATTTCAAGCTTCGGTGTGCAAAAATGTTGGCTGAACCTTTCAATAGACCAAATAGTCATTTAAATGACTGGATGAGATCTTATGTGTGTTCAGACGATCTGGTAGGTCACTCATCTTCTAATGTCATAACTGAAATGACAATAGCTATTCAAAGATATGAATATGTTAATTTATATCACACCATGACGGACTACTATAACGCCTTCCTTGTTATGTTACTGTTTCAAAAACGTCCAGAAAACGTCAACATTCTCTTCATTGATGGACATCCTAATGGTGGTTTAGACGATACATGGCGCCGCCTTTTTAAACAGACCTACAGAGCCGGTGCCTTAAAACGAAAGACATTATTTTCCAATCTGATTTGGGGAATTCCGGGCTATAACAGCCCTTTGAACAATCATGAGCTTACTTTCGTGCCTTATTTAAAGGATTTTCGTACATTCTTTTTAAGACAGCATAACTTAAAAAATATTTCAAAAACACTGGATTGTGATAATCTGTCAGTGTTATTTATCTGGAGAAGAGATTATGTTGCACATCCTCGCAATCCTTCAGGGCTCGTGTCTCGTAAGATTAAAAATGAACAAGAGTTAGTCGACCATGTTTCAAAATTACTTCCAGGTCATGATATTAAGTCGTTGCAACTAGACAAGTTAACAATGCAAGAACAATTGAAAATCGTATCTAAAACCGATATTTTGATCGGAATGCATGGTGCCGGACTATCTCACACTCTGTTTCTTCCCAACCATTCAGGTTTGATTGAATTATACCCGATATATTGGCCTGAAACAAACCGACATTTTCGTATGATGGCAACATGGCGAGGACTTCATTACTTGACATGGAAAAATCATGATATAGCCAACGAATTTCCCCTAAAGTTTACCTACGTACCACCGCAATCAGTTGGAAACATGGTCAACGAAATGGCTGTAAAATTATGTCAAAATAAACTTCGTATCAGATGAAAAATATAGTTGTGTTCTCCACAATCGAGCGGCAGTAAATCATGTGCGTGGATTGCTTTTAATACTTTCCTAGACAATATGGGTTCCTTATTTTTTAGTGTCAAATCAAGCAAATTATTTGATTAATTGGTGTTTCTAATGTATTATCATGTATTCTTAATCATATCATTATGTTCTTATTGCATATAATTAAGAGTTTTAACCAATCATTGATGTCCATGTATGTACCGTCTGGATAAACAAAAAAACTTTTGACCTTTCTTGATCGGTAACTCTTTGGAATTCTTCTGGTAATTCTCTTATAATTTAGCTAATTATGAATTAATTATGGACATATGAGACAAACTGGTATTTGGTCATCTGGTCATTAGAACACCTCTACTTTCTATTCATTTAAGTATTAGCATTTTCATAAGGGAATCCATATATATAAATAAATTCTTTAATAAACCGAGGCCCCGTGTGCTACAGACTGCGCACGTTAAAGATTCCTCGACAGTTGGAAATCGAAAAAAAAGAGTAGGCTACGTCTGCAAAAATTCCCCCATTGTACCTTGCATGGCTTTGTTCGTCTTCATCAGCCCACATGGTGCAGAAAAATAGGATGTAAAACTCCATTCATTTCATTTCAATAGCACCAGGCACTTTTTAAACTGGGGGTGACCAAAACCCCCTCTGCTCTAGCTCCGGTTTACAGTTTCTATTGCAGTCGAGGTATATAAGTCCTTAAGCTCTTGACATATAAAGATACCCCAAATTTTATCGGTGTTTTTTATCTGCCACCCCAAACTTCAGGTTATTACCGAAAGTAAAGTAATAAAAGAGATATATCATGATAAATATGTTTTTATTCACAGACTTTTTCGGCCAGGGCATTGCTGGATTGGAGCCGTCCTTGTTTCATGCTTTCGGGGATCTGATCCAGGGTAACGTTATATATATAACAATTTCCGTCTTCAGAATATACGTAGCTCACTATAACACATTCCGTCATCCTGAGACATCTATTAAGACATTCGTCTCGAGTTGAAGTTATTGCTGCAAAGATGGCCGGTGCTGAAAAAAAAAAACAATTTCGTATTTCATAATATCCATAGCTGCATCTGGTATCGTTTTTACACTTTTCATCACACTCCGATTGATTGGCTGATCTTTCAGCAGCATATTGTATGGTCTGTACAGTTGTTCCATTAAAATACTCCAACGTGTAATTACATCCTGAAATATAAATTATAAAGTTTTAGATAAATTATTTAGGGTAAAGAATATTTACAAGTGATAAGTTGTCAGCATATGTAAAATGTAAGATTTATAAAATGTGCGCCAATGTACAGGGTAAGGGTAAGGTTGTGTATATTGAAGAACAATCATTAGTTCTGTAAATATTAAAGGAATAAATGTGGATCTTGTTATCGCTATTGCGAAATAAACACTGGTTTATCATATGACAAGACAAATGAACCGACGGAGCGAGTCGCGTACGTCTTGTCACGTGAAAAACCAGCGTTTATTGCCCCATAACGATAACAAGACCCATATTTATTCCTTAAATAATTATATACTATCCGTAATAAAGACTTATATAAGGTTATTAATATCATAATGGAATATATCTTAAAATAAAACACATCTGTTCTGTTTCTATAATGTGAAAACAGTTAAAAAAATGTCAAAAACTTTGGATGTAAATCAAAGATCTTTTGAAGCGCTTGTTTAGGTTTTGTAAAAAAAACTTTGTTAACACGTTAATGCTCATCTATTCCTAGATCGTTACAGAAATATCCTGGCTAACCTAGCTTTAAAAAATCATGAATTACATGTCAAGAAAGCAATATTAAAATAATATATTCTACCTTCGCATGTTGTTTTATTAATCCAATCTCCATTTTCTCCACAAGTCAAAGTTCCTTCCAAACCATTCTTGGTGAAACCAGTAGTGCAATTAAAATTATAATCTTTACCAGATATACCTGATGGTGTTACATCATCAGAATTTGTTATGTTTTGGCCACTTGGACACTCTACAACTAATTTCAATAAAACATTAAAAATACAGCGTCAAGTCAACTAAAAATGAATTATATGATAATTGTTAGGTTTTTTCAGCGTTCATTCAACCAGCAATTTGCCATTAAGCACAGTTCTGTGCAGTGAGCTATTCATATTTCAGCCAGTTTTTATTTTAAGTGAAATTAAGAATTTAAGATTTTACCAGTTGGTACGTTAAGTTGACAAGTTGGTTCCAAACACCACTGTCCATTTTTACAGGACGTTTGAACTTCTAATCGGTAACCTTTTCGGCATCTGAACTGTTTGTTATCCTCACATCTATCTCTTGGTATCCATTCTGCGTTTTCTATCAAATCATACTTTATACAAACTACAAATAATAATGAAACAATGTCATTTTCTATATTATTGGCTTCACGGTCTGTAATATTCATGTAATCTTCATTTTCAGAATTAAAACTTAACGTTCGGAGGTCAAACAATACATGTTAAAACGATCCACCTTCAAGTTCCGTTCAAGATCACCGCAATATATTATTGGTGGTCGTACTGAAAACTGTTTTTTTACTGTAGATATTGCCCTCAGAGGCATACTTACCGGATCTTTCCCAAAACCTTCTCATCATATTGAGTTGGCGTTGAGGACTGGCCAGTGTTAAAGAGCCAGTCCATAACATGACCACTACCAGCATCAGATTAGCATTACACATCATATTGTATTGATGATTCAGGTTTGTGATTAACGGTGATTCGGGTAGGTATATATAGAAGATCAGAGACAAGGCGGGTTGATTTATTAGATTGAGCTGAAAGAGAGAAACATGATATTTAATATTTTTAAATAGTTGCAAAGTATCCTGATGTATTTTCGACTACAGATGGCCACTTGAAAATTCAAAATCAAGTTAGTCTTTTAGTAAAGCGTAGATTTATAACATTGATAGAGAGAAAACAGGGGACGATGTTGTTTAATATTTTTAATAATATTTCTAGGTAGATTGTACTGGGATATCTCTGTCTACAATGTCCACTATACTCTCTGTCTACAATGTCCACTACTCTCTGTCTACAATGTCCACTACTCTCTGACTACAATGTCCACTACTCTCTGTCTACAATGTCCACTACTCTCTATCTACAATGTCCACTACTCTCTATCTACAATGTCCACTACTCTCTATCTACAATGTCCACTACTCTCTGTCTACAATGTCCACTACTCTCTGTCTACAATGTCCACTACTCTCTGTCTACAATGTCCACTACTCTCTATCTACAATCGGTTTTTAAAGAAGGAAATTTTCTGTCCAAAAAGTAGGTCACTTCTGGGAGGGAAGTGTGTCTATTTCAAATGTAAAATCACTGAATCTTATATTTCTATGGACCTGAAGACAAATTGCATAAAGTTGGAGATTATATTCTAAATATTTATGAAATGGGGAGAAAAATTAAATTTAAACCTCAGTGTATATAGTCAGACAGTAGAAATTTTATAATAAACCGTATAATAATTTATAAAATCGATTAAGTGGAAACCGAAAAACATGTTGTTTTATGTAATCTTTAAATGACATTTAGAAGTAGATAAAACATGAAATAAATAAAAACACTATTATAGATATACTACTCCTTTCTAGAACGTTTCAATTCGTTGCAGAAAGGAGTAGTATATCCATAATAGTGTTCTTATTTATTATTAATATTATTATTTAATATTTCAAAGTTGCTTTAAGTCAAGCTGTTCCTAGAATAAAGCTAAAAGTTTATTAAATCGATTGAACGGAAATTGGAAACATGGTTTTTGAATTTTTTAATAGATTGTTACCTGGTATATTTCTGATATCAACTTTTAACTCGAAATATTAAAATCAAGCTGTGAAATATGTGGTTATTTAGCCAGCGGAAACGAGATCTAATGAGATTGAATATATTTTCGACATCTGTTAACTAGAAATATCAAGCAGTTCTTACAATAAATATCAATTATAGCAACTCTTGGTTTTTTCTACATCTTGTGCCGAAATTGTCATAAACCATGCAAAGCCGTTACTACATCACGGAAAATGAGGTACCGGTAACTACCTCATGCAGAATTTATCAACAAATATATTTTGAAAATATACTGATTATTTGAAAGTAAAAGTGGTCACTGTTTGCCTCATAGAAAAAAAATCCCGTAAACATTTATAAACAGGACTTCATTAAATATTAATTGTATTCTAAACTAAACATTATTATATACAGCAGTGTTCATGATTTTTATTATAGTGACTAGAACAGTTTAGATGAGAGACTCATTGACCTCATCTTAAAAAATTAAAGGGACGATACTCTGCAAAATATCAAGACCACACTTAAGACTACGAGTCTGAATCCGGCAAAATTAAAAGTATAATTTATTGACATATTCACTGTCTCCTATATCAACCATTCCAATGTCAAACCTTATCTATGTCTCCCTTGTCAACCATTCCAATATCAAACCTTATCTATGTCTCCCTTGTCAACCATTCCAATGTCAAACCTTATCTATGTCTCCCTTGTCAATCTTTCCAATATCAAATCTTATCTATGTCTCCCTTGTCAATCATTCCAATATCAAACCTTATCTCTGTCTCCCTTGTCAACCATTCCAATATCAAACCTTATCCATGTTTCCCTTGTCAATCATTTCAATATCAAACCTTATCTATGTCTCCCTTGTCAATCATTCCAATATCAAGCCTTATCTATGTCTCCCTTGTCAACCATTCCAATATCAAACCTTATCTCTGTCTCCCTTGTCAACCATTCCAATATCAAACCTTATCCATGTCTCCCTTGCCAATCATTCCAATATCAAACTTTATCTATGTCTCCCTTGTCAATCTATCCATTGTCAAACCTTATTTATATCTCCTATATCAACAATTCCAATGTCAGACGTTATCTATGTCTCCCTTGTCAATCTCTCCATTGTCAAACCTTATCTCTGTCTCCATTGTCAATCATTCATTTGTCAAACCTTATCTCTGTGTCCCTTGTCAATCTATCAATTGTCAAACCTTATCTATGTCTCCCTTGTCAATCTTTCCAATGTCAAACCTTATCTGTCTCCCCTGTCAATCTTTCCTTTGTCAAACCTTATCTGTCTCCCATGTCAATTTTTCCTTTGTGAAACCTAAACTATGTCTCCCTTGTCAATATTTTTTTGTCTGTCAAACCTTATCTCTGACTCTCTTGTCAATCTTTCCATTGCCAAACCTTATCTCTGTCTCCCTTGTCAATCTGTCAATTGTCAAATCTTACCTGTCTCCCATGTCAATCTTTCCTTTGTCAAACCTTATCTGTCTCCCATGTTAATTTTTCCTTTGTCAAACCTTATCTCTGTCTCCCTTGTCAATCTTTCCATTGTCAAACCTTATCTATGTCTCCCTTGTCAATCTTTCCATTGTCAAACCTTATCTATGTCTCCCTTGTCAATCCTTCCAATGTCAAACCTTATCTATGTCTCCCTTGTCAATCTTTTCAATGTCAAACCTTATCTCTGTCTCCCTTGTAAATCTTTCCATTGTCAAACCTTATCTATGTCTCCCTTGTCAATCTTTCCAATGTCAAACCTTATCTCTGTCTCCCTTGTCAATCTTTTCAATGTCAAACCTTATCTCTGTCTCCCTTGTCAATCTTTCCAATGTCAAACCTTATCTATGTCTCCCTTGTCAATCTTTTCAATGTCAAACCTTATCTATGTCTCCCTTGTCAATCTTTCCATTGTCAAACCTTATCTATGTCTCCCTTGTCAATCTTTACAATGTCAAACCTTATCTATGTCTCCCTTGTCAATCTTTCCAATGTCAAACCTTATCTCTGTCTCCCTTGTAAATCTTTCCAATGTCAAACCTTATCTATGTCTCCCTTGTCAATCATTTCAATGTCAAACCTTATCTATGTCTCCGTTGTCAATCATTTCAATGTCAAACCTTATCTCTGTCTCCCTTGTAAATCTTTCCAATGTCAAACCTTATCTATGTCTCCGTTGTCAATCATTCCAATATCAAATCTTATTTGTCTCCAATGTCAATCTTTCCACTGTCTATCCATGTCTCCCCTGTCAATCTATGAAAGCCGTGGCTACTCCAGAAGTTAAGAATTGGAGGGGGTCACGGCCAATTATTTTTTTCACGACAGGTTGGATTTAGAGTCTATGTCCCAGAATAAAATTTTGAAAAAGGGCTTAAATCCTACATTTTTTGCTATGAAATAATTCTTATCTTCACCAAAAATGGTATAGGCCTATCCTTCTCATGCTACTATTTCACAGAGGCCACGAATACCACAAATGAATAAATTTTAGGATTCGCAATTGAATCAGGATTAGTCCGTATCAGGTTTAATAAGAGATACTCTCTTGTAGAAGCACTGGCCTAGGTCACAAGTACGTGAAATTCTACTCTGATTTGCATATATTCGTAGTTCAATTCTTGAAACTATCAGGAATTTGTGGCAAAAGTTAGGAGCAGAATGGAACCAGAATGTGCTAAAATTTTACGAATCCTCACAAATCCCAAATCTTACAAATCATGGGATTCATGTGGAATTGTAACAGCAGGCATTTGGGCCTCTGACCCATAAAACAATTATTTCCCCCGATTAAAAAAAAACACAGAAGATCTGATAAATTTGTACGTTTTTTTAAAACGAATATTGACAATAATAAATGTTAAAGTTTCAATATATACACAACAAATAGAGGTCGCTGACCTTGATCAAAGGTCATGACCCCTTTCAGGCAGACGACAAAATATAAAATACTAAACACATCTTTAACAATTTCAGCCATTTTGATTTTGTTATGAAGAAATACATAGAAATAGTTAAACTAATAAATTGACGCTTAGTTTTCAGACAGTTTGCAGAACAATCGGCAGCATTCCTCAGAATTATTAGGTGCGAGGCAAGGTCAGACAAGCCTCTTTTCTGAAGTGACCGTCTCCTGTCCCATTGTAAAAACCCCATTGAGAAAAAGGTAACAATGTTTGTTATTGTCTGGTATACAATTAAACAAAGACACCATCTGGGAACTTCCTGTATTAGACTCCTGGCACCATATATTCGAAACGATCTTCGCACTAGGATACGGGGCCTGGTCAGTTTTGCTAAAGTCCCAACATTCCTGGACAAGCACAAATATTCTTTGACTGACTTAAACATTGAATGTTCTGCAACCTGAGTGAAAACTAAACATAAAACATTTAAATATAACAACAATTAAATTTGTTACTTTGTATCAAAGCATTACGATGCTGAATGGAGTTGCTTCCCTTGTTTGCTTTGCAGAATAGCATATAAACTGATTCGATTTTGTCTCGTGGGGGTAGCCTACATAATGAGTTGCGATTTTGGCTGTTTTCCTCATCAAATTATAACTATCACAAATGTGGCAAAACCAAACTTTCGTTTCATTTTTATCAGCTTTAATTTTCAATATATAGCCACTTCAGTTCAGGTCTAACGACTGGCCTCTTTAACATTCATCACAATAATCTTTTGACCTATCCTGATGACCTTGCTTTCACCAATCAAATTTCGCACAAAATGCCAGCGTTGGAGACGGCAGGTATTTGATTGGTTGAAGCAGTGTTACATCAAAAGACTAATTTGACAAATGTTTAAGAGGCCAGTCGTCAGACCCTAACTGAAGTGGCATTATTAAAAAAAGAAAGTTAATAAAATACAGAACGAAAGTTTGGTCTAATTTTAATTAGACTTCCAGAAAGAGAAAATATTTCGCACAATTTTGACAAAAGAAGGACTACTCCACACAGCAAAAAATGACGACTTGATACAAAATAACTATAATCATGATTAGATAATAAAAAAATTCTACATTTGATCTACAGAATTAGAATTTGTTCACTTTATAAAAATATTTCATTATATTAAATAACTTAACTAAGCTTTACACTGACGAAAAACCATACAAGATTAAACGGAAGAAAAATGTTCTTACATTTTATATGGGCTCCCTATTTTACCATTAGAAAATCATTTTTAGAAATTGAAGACTGAAAAATTAATTTTATTTTTACAATATTTGTCAAATGGCTTTATGTCAAAGTGCCTTTTTCTTGAAATATATGATAGTAGAAAATTTGTAGAAAATATATAAATGCATTATTGCATTTATTTAAAGTACCAATGATATTTAAGGTTCACTATATCTTGCCTTTAGCCCATTTTATAATGAATTGGCATTGGTTTCAGAATTGTCTTGTCTGTATTTTACTATCAAATATAAGATCAAATTTTATTACAATTCACACCACAGTTGACGTAGAAACACTTCATTTGCTAGGATTGTAAATTATAGATACATGTATATAGTAAAGGAGATAAAATCACAAGTAATTATCAGATTTAGTAAGAGTAGCATATGAAACTATGTCTAGTTCTTACATGGAAATAACAACATGATTATAGTTCACAACTATTTTTAATCTCTTCTTCAACGAAATAAGTCGAATTTTGAAAGACTTCAAAGGTATAGAAAAGGCCTTAAATTTGATTTGAAGGCTTTGTTGAACTAGGTGTTATTTCCAAGTAAGAATCATATATAGTTTTTTATGGTAAAAGTAGGTCATGTTCGTTAAGAATTGTAACTTAATTAGTACTGTTGCATGAAACTTTGGGTTTCTTTCATCTTTTACAAGAAATTTCTTACACTCATCAAATGAGAATAAATTATAAATCAAAATGGAAGTTACCATCAAAATAAGAATCCTGCATCAGAATGGAAGTTACCAAATCAAAATGGGGCTACCATCAAAATGAGGCTCCTGCATCAAAATGGAAGTTACCATCAAAATAAGAATCCTGCATCAGAATGGAAGTTACCATCAAAATGGAAGTTACCATATCAAAATGGAAGTTACCTTTAAAATAAGATTCCTACATCAAAATGGAAGTTACCATATCGAAATAGGGATTAATATCAAAATGGAAGTTACCTTCAAAATACGAATCCTGCATCAAAATGGAAGTTACCATCAAAATGGAAAATCCTGATTCAAAATGGACTTTCCCACATTCATATGAGAAGAATCCCATCATAATGGAAATTCCCAAGAAAATATCTATTGAAGTTTGCAAAAAAAAAACAAGAATCCCTAGTTACCATAGAAACAAACAGAAATTCTACCAATAGAATTACAACCATTGAAATAATCACTAATTGAAATAAAAAAAAAATTCACCACGGGGAAGAATGAGCTGCCTAGAATGTGAGATAATAAACTGAATATAGAAACAACAAACATACTTTCTAACCTAATAACAAATCTATACTATCACTTGTCCTTTTAAACACACAGATTGTAGCAGAATAGAATCCAATCCAAATAGATCTTAATATTACGGTAGATTACACCTTAATTCATGGTATACAACATTTCTACAATCTACACTGTTATCAAACAAGCAGCAGAATTGAGTCCAATTGAAACAGATCTTAATTTCATGGTAGATTACTCCTTAGGTTATGATATACAACATTTCTACAATTTACACTGTTATCTTAATTTCATGGTAGACTACTCATTAGTTATGATATACAATGTTTCTATATTTTACACTGTTATCAAACAAAGTAACACACTATATTTAGAATCACCTAGGGAGTAAAGAATCTTGAAACAATTCACATTGTAAATTTTCTCAAAAATTAGCATTTTCCACCAAAATATTGTTGTTTGGACTGATTTTTGATCTAAACTGTTAGTTTTTAAATAAATACAATATGACACTAATAAGGGAGGAATTGTTTATCAATAATAGTGTTTTATTTTCAAATGAATTCTTTGTTTATATAATAAACTATTGTATAGAATAAAAGACCAGAGAGTTCTACCATGAAATCAAGATCAGATCAAGGAATTATATTTTATAGATCTCACTAACCACTAAATGTTCCATATATTATATATTTATTGCACTTTAATTGTGGTTCAATCATTCTTTTCTTTTCTTTTGAAACTTCAGTCAAAGTTATATCAATAATTTCTTTCATAGAAGATTTGAACCCAAAGCCACCATATTGATTGGTAGACTATTATTAGTCTTATGATAATTGAATAAAGTTACTGAGCCAGGGTGATGAGATAAAATATCTCAATAACATGGCTTCTAATACTTATTATCTCATTCTCAATAGTTTTGAGGATTTGAACCCAACGACACCATTGACCGTAAATCATCTGATACCAACTGACCTACACAATTATCTTAAGAGAGAAGAACGAAGTGATAGTGTAGACTTGGTCTAAACAAAAACATACATCACATTGCTATGATAGAGCAGATCTATTCATTTAGTCTTGTTTACCCAGACTTCTAATATACAATTATCTATTCTACATAACTATAGTCTGGATAATCAAGACTAACAACTGATTCTATAATTTCACATTACATGCTTTAGACAAACAACATTAAATGTATCCAGTTTTTACAAGATGACAAAAAAATGAAAATGAGTTTTGCTATGATATATCTTCAAGCTATTACGACCTTCAGCTTATACCTTGACTGCAATGGTCACTTGTCTTGTATCACGTAAGTAAATGCAGTGAATTGATTGGATTTTATGCTAGCGAATACAGCTAATCAGAGGCCTCGACTGAAAGTGTGTTAACAATAAGCCATAATATTTACAGTTTTTCTGTTGAGAGCTCTGATTGGTTGTATTAGCTAGTGTACAATCCAATCAAATCACAGCATTCCATGGTACACAAGAGGTGACTATTGCAGTCAAGGTATAAGCTGAAGGTTGTAATAGCTTGACATAGTGAAGACTTGCTATAATGAGATTTGAAATAATACAGTACACTCCAAGGTTTAGTTATTTTGTCATGAATTGTTGGCTGTATCTTATTGAATACCTCTAATAAGCCTGTACCATATTGAATTCAGAATATCCCCATGCCTTTGGCTCACTCTTTAAGAGATTAATATAGCTAGCAACATCACATTATTATACCCCCTAACACATTCTTTAAATGATTTCAGATATGCATATTAAAGTCAAAATATTTGACCCCCAGATCATATATGTTGAAATGTTCCAAAATATGAATAAAGATCTTTAAGAGGACTAAGAATCAAGGTGAGAGACATTTCAATATGGTCAAATTATGAGTAATTCAGTGGGATAGGCTGAAAACTTTATCAATATGAGTTAACTGACTTTAGTATTACAGATATTCAGTGAGGTACTGCTAAAAGCTATATTGTTTTGAGCCTAACAAGTTTGATATTAGAGATATTCAAAGAGCTATATCTCTATCTGTTAAACATCAGTAGATAGATGAGAGGTATTGCAGTGAGATATGGCCGAGAGCTCTATGGCTATGAACTAGTATTAGACGTAAAAGGAGTTTGATGTAAAGTAGTGTATGGTGACGAAACAAGATGGCCGAATCCCTGAACAGAAGATGCAGTCCCGGGCGTGTTAACATTCGGGACGTTACCGGAATGTGACAGAGTTGAGTACAAACTGTCTGATTTCGTCATGTTCGATACATCAGTTGTCATAGGAACCGATTGAGCACTGACTGGATATTTCGTCACGTTAGAAACATATTGTTGTTGTGATGGATATCCATTTGTATTCTGAAAGTTTTGAGGCTGTGATGCACCGGTTGTTGTCCATGATGGTTGAAAATTTCCCACATTTGATAATTGTTGTCCTATCACAGATTGATGATGTAATGGTTGCTGTGGCAACTGAGATAACTGACTACGTAACGCAGGATTTGACATCACGTTACGTGACACAGGTTGTGCCATGTGCTGCGATGGAGGCAAGTTATTGAGAGTTTGAGAATAGGGTAAGTTAGCTTGATATCCCACCGGAATCCCAGATCCAACAGTATAACTCCGCGAAGCTGCAGGGTTCACATTTTGTGTAGCTAAAGACATAGGAGTAGTGTGTTGCACCGAGTAATATTTAAGATGAGTCATTGAATGAGTGACATTCGAACCCGTATTATCAATTGCTGAATTTAAATTGCTTGAAGTGGAGGCGTGGCCAGGTAAAACTTGACGTGTATATGCTACGTTGTTTATTGACGTCGGAACATTGTTTAAATCCATCCCAGAATGACCTAATTCACTGTATCCAGAACTCCGTGATAATGTCGTAGCACTTTCACTTGGTAAGGTTAAATCTGACTGTTGCTGTTGTTCTTGTTGTAAGTTTTGTTGTAGCGTTGCGGCTAAAATTGACGTCAGTTCCTCTCCGATATCATCTATCGAGATTTCCCCTTTCACCAACTGTTCCAGTGTTTCCTTGGCAGCATGGATATCACTACTAGCTGCTGCCAGAGCCCTTTCTAATTCTTCCGTCTCTTCAGCAGTAGGATCGTTTTTACCTGGAAAAGATATGAAAATCAAACATAGGGTAAAGGATGTGTAGGTCAGAAATTTGACCCTTGGTATTGTATGGGCATTATTCTTGCCAGATGCAAAAAAAATTGCAGACTTCCATGTTAAGGAGTTGCATAACTCTTTGAGAATCAGGGACTTATGGACTTAATCTCGACCATGGAGGTCAAACTCAACCAAGCTTCAAGACAAAATACATAGCAAGCCATATTGCAACAAAATCCAATCAAGACGGCCATCTTTGTTCTGTTTACAATAAAATGTGAAATGAAAAAATGCCAACAGACCGGATTGTGTGAATATCAAGAGTAAATCTAATCAACTTACTAGAGAAAATATCAAATGCTTCATCTGGAATTTTGTTGAAGACTTCCTGGAAATCTTGCTCTTCCAATAACCTTGACGCCTGTTCTAGTGGTAACTCTCCAAAATTCTTATCTATCACTGTAAAGAATGGAAGTGGAGTTGATATGAATGGGCTAATATATTTCTTTAAATATAATAGCATTATATACATAATATATTATCATCCAGTCTCTCTTTGTCTACGTACATCTTCGACGAAAAGGGGCCAAGACAGGTTGCTGAATATCTTTGTAACTGACCGAGGCTACAGTGGCTATTGAATCTGATTAGTTTTCTAAAATATATTTCTTTACATATAACCTAAATAAGATACTAAACCAAACCAAACCAAGAATTGTGAAGGAAAAATTCTTACCATGTCTAAAAGTTTCCTCAAGATCGACACCCTGCAGATTATTGTCTATCATCTTCTCTTCCTTCTGACTGGAGTTATTAGTATTATCAGTAGAACTAGTAGACGGGAGGGACAGCCTCTCTTCAGGTTTACTGACTGACGAACTAGCCTTCTCTTCATCTGTTGTAATATTGATTTCTGGTACAGGTTCTTCATCAGGCATACCTACAACAAAATGTGCTCGTTTCAATAATACAGTCAAATACAGGAAGTAAGGATATATTATTCTACAAGATTTCGCCATGGACATCAGGTGAAATGATTTGGAAAATATTAACGATGTAACTACACCTTAGTGACAGACAACAAACACCAGACAATGTTATGGAATAATCACACAAGGGACAGATTCACCTAATTGTCATTCAAGACTTATACCTTTAACTCAGCTTATCCAGACAAATGGAAAATTGTTAGTTAAGAAAGAAATTGATTAATCAAACAGAGTTATTTCCCTTTATTACAACTCTACATTATCTGGAGTTATCTCCCTTTATAACAGTAAGAACCACTATCTCCATTACTATATTAGAGATATTGTGTGATATTCATCATTTAATCAGGAAATAAATGATACATATCTCTCAAAATTACTGATATCTCCAATGGGTGAGGAAGGAGGAATTGGTTTTGAAAAACTTACTGATATCTCCAGTGGGTGAGGAAGGAGGAATTGGTTTTGAAAAACTTACTGATATCTCCAGTGGGTGAGGAAGGAGGAATTGGTTTTGAAAAACTTACTGATATCTCCAGTGGGTGAGGAAGGAGGAATTGGTTTTGAAAAACTTACTGATATCTCCAGTGGGTGAGGAAGGAGGAATTGGTTTTGAAAAACTTACTGATATCTCCAGTGGGTGAGGAAGGAGGAATTGGTTTTTGAAAAACTTACTGATATCTCCAGTGGGTGAGGAAGGAGGAATTGGTTTTGAAAAACTTACTGATATCTCCAGTGGGTGAGGAAGGAGGAATTGGTTTTTGAGGACGGACAGCTCTCCCTTTCTTCTTCTTTTTATTTTTCTTGGGGGGCCGTGATAGGGCTGGAGGTTTAGATTTTTTACGTGGTCGTTTTCGTACTTCTGCTACCTGAATCTTCTGATAGTTATCCTGAAAGAACAAAATATAAGGAATTAAAAATAGATTCTTTTCACCACTGTCATCCCCTCAATTCAAAATAGAAACTCATTTTTCAATAAGCATCTATTATATTTGCCAGCAATACCCCAAAAACACAAACCCAATACAACAATATTTTTTTTACTAAAACATACAGCAGCTTTCATACAAGGTTTGTGACAAGAGGTAGTTCATGTTGGATATCAAAGATATGAAAACAACTCTAGTGTAGTCAGAATAGCTATCCCTCACAGAAACCCTCACAGCTCAACTGTACCTAACCCCCCACTAAGTCCCCTGCTGCTAAATACACAATACTTACAGCTTTAGCGCCGTGTTCATGACAGAGAGGTAATTCGTGTTTGATATCGAATATAGGGACACAACACTGGGTGTTATCAGCGAATTTAGCCGTACAATAGTCAAACAGTTGTTGATCTACATTATACATGATATCTGTATAAAGGTCAAGGTTATTATAATACGGATTAAACTGGTGATTCAAAATATGAAAATTGATATGGTTAAATTGAAAACACGAAATTTCCAATACTATAGTGCAACTTGGAAGGGACGTCAAACCTAAATACAAATCAAACATTTAACGAAGTACTTTCTATGAAAATGATGACAAACCAAATGCTAAACAATTATAAGCTATGTGGACTCTCTGAAATGAAATGAACCTGCACCTATTGGACAAATTTCGGTAAATTTCTTCAATGTAGGTATTTAAAAGGATACGTTTAATACAATGATTGGTATAGGGTAGGACATTATTGATACATTGTATTTCTTCATTATTTTTATATCCACATCTTCTCTTCTCTAAACCTCGATATTTACTCCTGGAAGACATCAAAATATTTCACTTTAAGCTCTAAATATCTTATAAATCAACCCCAAAGCCAATCTAATTTGTAAAAAGATCACAATATTTACCATATAATTGTAAGGATAATGTGATAGCTTGTATAACACACATCCCTTCCAGAAGAAAAAAATAAAACGTTCATGGGAAACACCAGTACAAGAATACAAACAAGGTAATCCTTCCAGAACTATCATATTCCCTTTTTCTTTAACAACTCATAAGCAATATAATATTTAACATCACAAACCTGTGAATTTTCTTTTTAGGTTTCCTGAGAATTTCTTGTAAACAACGAACAGACGCCCTTGGCTCTTCCTTCGCTGCTTGAATCAGAGCCAGGATTTCCGAGTTGTTTGTCTTCTTCACTGTTGTATTACTCCGAGTGGCTGATCGACATTGATGACACTGACGTCGTAATCTGGCTCTCAATAACGCCAGTTTAGTTGCTCGGATATGTATTGGTATATCACTAGGGCTGAAATCAAGGTTTTTATCAATTAGTTCTTGCCCTTTGTAATGTTTCATTTCACGACATTTCATTTATTTATAACTTGTCTACTTTTAACAGCTATGTTGTAAAGCATTTCATTGATCAGATTTCTCAAATCTTAAACTCTCAATAACAACAAGTTTTTTTATGTTCCGTTTTAAATTTTTCTAAATTGTTGTGAGATAATTATCAGATTTCTTTTTTACACGAATACAACATGGTAGCCGTAAAAACTTCTCATCTTTATGGTACTATCACACCTTACAGTCTGACCACAAAAGTTACAGAATGTCTCTCCGAAAATTGACTAATAAATTTGAAATTTATAAACAAAATAAAACTTAAATTTTCCTTGATCAAACATTAAGACCTCTGTCCCATTAGGATTTCTTTGACTTGAAAATCCACTAAGGCTCTGATAAATTAAAAAAATGAGGTTGAAACTTTTCTAAGCCACCTTCAGATTAGCGCAATCTTTTAGCAAACACACAAAAAAATCAAAATAATACTCACTCTTCTTCCTCTTCCTCGTCATCGTTATTATCATCGTCTGACGAGGCCGAGAACCAATTAGGTTGCCATGGTAACATATCACTATCCTCATCGTCCGAACTCGACTCATCTGAACTACAGATCCCATGATTGATGTAAATATGGTTGTTAATTTTCCGTTTGGCATGATATGAATAATATCTCACACAACTGTCCGTTTTCAATTTCTGTCGGGCTTCTTTTTCAAACAATACACATTTTAATCTCTGAGGCTTCTTACATAATACTGGTAACACAGGGGAAGGGGGTTTCTTTGGTTGTTTGGGGGAAACGTAAGGAGGGGGTGGGGGCAGTTGAAAGTTTGTGGGACACGTAATGGGTCCTGGTGCAGTTCGTAACGTAGACATAGATGGTGCTGTAATCACAGAAAGATGGTTGTCACTATTCGGCAACACCATAGGTGGCGCTATTGACGGTATATTATAATTCTGATTCGGACCGACCCCTGGGTATGGAGGAGGAGGAATCCCCAGGGGGTCAGACACAGTTAATCCTGGAGTCACTGTTGTTTTATATCCAAGACTGTGGGTAGGATGTAAATTTTGGGGAGGGGCAATGGTTCTGTGGGGGGCAACTGGTCTGTGAGGGATTCCTGTTCCATTAAATGGAGGTATACTAGTAGGGAGTGCAGGGTTCTGATGATTGGAGTTATTTAACGTTAATGGAAGATCGAGATCAGATCTGGTTTGAAGCATATTAATTCCCTCCGTTAAGAACTGACTCGTTTCTTGTTTACGAAGTTTGTCCTTGATGCGATTTTGAGCAATTTTAGTCTGTAACTTGTTGAATTTCATGTTGTGAGTATTCCTCATTCGACTTTTCACTTTGGGTTCCACACTCTTAGGTTTGATTTTCTCCAATTTCTCTGCGAGTTCCGGATATAGTTTTGCGATCGAAGACATACCTTCATTTGAAGGTGGTCTATTGGACGATTGACCCGGACTCTGCGGCACGGATCGTACAGAATCAGTGTTCGGACTAGGCAAGCTACTACTGCTACATGTACTGTTCGATAACATGCACGGCGGTTCTGAAACAGGATCAGAAAACGCATACGGATCATAAGGATCCTCCACATTGACAGTAATATTTTCATTTTTAGAATTATCCACATCATTTTTCCGACTGTTGAACTTTGTCTTCACACGATCTGCGAAAGACAGTTTTGATTCTTTGTTATTTATTTTATTATTGCCCGTTTCCTTTTTCTCTTTCCGTTTTTTCTTTGGAATCATCCCCAGCACCTGCATGTGGTTGTTACAGTACCTGAAAGAATCAAGGAAAGAAAATAAAAATAAATTTTTTGAAAGATTAAGGTACGGTAGTCACATCAGAATCTTCTAAAGTTTTTCAGACGCCAATATCTCATGTGCATATTCAATTCTACTGAACATTTGTAATTGGCATGTGTTGTGTTTAAAAAAGAACTTGCCACAAAGCCCACAATACATGATAGAATTCTTTTTATAGAATCTACGCCAAATGTGCTATTTTGAAATGCAAAACCCACTGATATTTAACTGAATATCTGTAGATTTAAGCAATAAATACTCATACAACCCCTAGAAAATATTTCATTTGGTGGAATAAGTCAATGAATAATATACTTACTCTCTCTTTTCATTTTTAGGTATGGGCTGTGTACACATTTGATGACTGGATTTGGCCACGTACGCACATCGTTTGAAAGGAGCCGTGTAATCCTCCAAGATGTGACGAACACAAAATGCGTAACCATTTAATCTCCGTTGGTTACAGACCTTAACGCTGAAGGAACACAAGGGTTTGTTGTCAACGTTAGAGTAGTGGATATTCTTGCCTTCAAACATTTCATGTGAACAAGTGGCACTATGACACATTGGTTTGTACTTTCAGCTTTTACTTCCCTTACAGATCTGAAATTAGACAACACAAATCTTATTTTGTGACCTAGGCCAGTGCTTTTATGAATAAGCACAGTAGTTTTTAACCTGTCCCAAAAACGTATTTTGCATGAAAACATGTCTCTAGATATTGAAAGTGAAAGTTGGAACGGATACCATGTACAGTCTCGTGCATTCCCCAGCATAAAGTTGAATTTTTCTTCAATCCCTGTTTAAATTTAAACATATTGACAGTAAACCTTCTGTGACTGTATCATGGTCTACCTTTCTGTTGATGGTGGGCCACACATATAACAATACAAATACATATCAAATATCAGCGCTTTTGACAGTATACCACACAACCCTTGCCTCCTCTTTTGAACAGATAGTTATCTTGTGGATCATTAAAATACTATAATGAAAATTTCACACTGAAATTCTTCTTTGAAAGGCAATGTAAATTATTCAAAGACTAGAATGCAGAGCGCTAGCATAACTTTCACGGAGACCGTTTGTACAAACTGGTTTTAGTAATATTTTAGTGATTTGATTCATTTAAATAAGGGGCAATAATAAATTTTTCAAAACATTGAAACACTTCATTTCGTTCATTTATCAAAATGTGGCGACAGATGTGGGATGGAAAACTGTTCTCTTTTTCTGACAGCTGTCAAAGAAAAAAAATGTCTCCATTACAACTCTTTTCTTTGGCTATAATTAATTCAAAATTTAAGCAAATCACCAGGTACAAATGTTTAAATTCAATTCAAAAAGCAAATGCTGATGCATAGATGTTGTAAGCAAGGTGCTTGATTGTTTGGAAAATTGTGGGTGGGGGATATTTTTTTGTTACAAAGCAGTGCGGAAGTAAAACACAATACGAATTATTTTCAACCTTTCAATGCAAAAATTTCAGTGTTGTTATAACTTCTTGGTCTAATATTCTGCTTATTTGATGTACAGACCTATATTCTATCAAATTGGGATCATTTTTGGGTCACATTCGTGTATTTATAAGGATTATTTCCTGGTTTGTATTTTGTAAACAAACGAAAATTCTATTTCCGTCCAATTTTCACACGTCAAAATATCACAATAAAATCCAAACAATGGCCTTATTTTTCTTTTTCTATCATTTTTTGGACAAAGTTTTGACAAATCTTTTCTGATATCTCAAAAATATTCAATTATTTTGTTATATATGGGCATTAAATCCATGATTTAGCAAATTTTCCTCTCGTGAAAGCGTTTTATCACGCCAAATCGAGCTCCGCGATTGACGTGTAATCGTGATATAAATAACTATCCATGCGCCCCATTATGCTAAGAAGTTGCCTTCGCAATCTTTCTGGTTCCTTTAGGATCCCTTACCTTTAACATATTTCATATCAAAACCCTCAAATTTCCAAGTTGAAAATATTTGTCCATAGTTTCAAGTTGTTCAAAATGGCCGACTAGAAACCTGCGTGCTAAAGTTGCAGATTAATATCGAAGCGCACCTTACACTACACTGACTACATGGCGATATTCGGTCAACTTCATGTTTGAATCCTATACTACAACCCCCATGTTGGACCAATTTTATATTATTTCATACCAAAATGACCAGAATTGAGCCTAGATTAACCCAAAAATATTTTTAATTCAACAAAAATTTATTCTAATTAATAAACTAGCAATAAATGACACGCGTACTTATTTTGAACATGCCTCCGCGAAGAAAATGAATCTCAAAAGTTAGCCATTGAAGAAATTTGTAAATTTTGAGAATATTTCTCCAGCCATTTTGGGGTAAATTTGGAATGAAAATAAAGAAGTTAGGGTGTAAAAATTTGGAATATTTTGGTTGTAGAAGAAGTCCACAGGTTGTTCCTGGGATAAGTAGTACCGGCTGAACAAGAGAAGCCCTTGAGCCAGTCAACTTCAAACCCCAATAAAACGACACAACCGACAACTAGACTAAAAATAGTAACACAAGCCATCTTTTCTAAGCTTCCAAAAACATTAATTTTAAACAAGTTATAAATTTTCTAGACCCCTAAAATTTTAAACATGCATAATATACACATTATTCTTCAGGACTGTGGTGTTTTGAAATTATTTTGTTCATTTTTCGCAAAGTTATTTATTTCCGAAATTTTTAAAATGAGGGCAAGCAATGTGTTGATGAAGTACAAGCACAACTCAGATTCTAGCGATTTGATTGGTTCAAACCGAAATCAGTTGAACAACCAAATGGTGGGATTGGTTGAAAATATAAACCTGAATGGCGGCAAGGCAGGTGGTTTTATAAGAAAATCTTACTTCATTCTTGACCAACATAACAACAGACATTTTTTTACAAAAAAAAAAAAAAAAAAAGAAAAAAAAGCAAATAAACTTGAAATAACTAAAGAAAGTAAATTTTAGTCAATAATAATTTGACTATTTTTTCAGCGCAATTTCTGTCTTTGTATACTAATTAGTAACACGAAGCGTTAGAAATAGCAAGAGAGTAGTCTTATACTGCTGCCATGACAAAATTTCATGATAAATTAAGAAAATCATTTAGTAAGAGAAACCTAATAAATATGATGTCTGTAGTAAATCATTTAGTAAGAGAAACCTAATAAATATGATGTCTGTAGTAAATCATTTAGTAAGAGAAACCTAATAAATATGATGTCTGTAGTAAATCATTTCGTAAGAGAAACCTAATAAATATGATGTTTGTAGTAAATCATTTAGTAAGAGAAACCTAATAAATATGATGTCTGTAGTAAATCATTTAGAAAGAGAAACCAAATAAATATGATGTCTGTAGTAAATCATTTAGTGAGAGAAACCTAGTAAATATGATGTCTGTAGTAAATCATTTAGTAAGAGAAACCTAATAAATATGATGTCTGTAGTAAATCATTTAGTAAGAGAAACCTAATAAATATGATGTCTGTAGTAAATCATTTAGTAAGAGAAACCTTATAAATATGATGTCTGTAATAAGTTATTTAGTAAGAGAAACCTAATAAATATTATGTCTGTAGTAAGTTATTTAAGTTATTTAGTAAGAGAAACCTAATAAATATGATGTCTGTAGTAAATCATTTAGTAAGAGAAACCTAATAACTATGATGTCTGTAGTAAATCATTTAGTAAGAGAAACCTAATAACTATGATGTCTGTAGTAAATCATTTAGTAAGAGAAACCTAATAACTATGATGTCTGTAGTAAATCATTTAGTAAGAGAAACCTAATAAATATGATGTCTGTAGTAAATCATTTAGTAATAGAAACCTAATAAATATGATGTCTGTAGTAAATTATTTAGTGAGAGAAACCTAATAAATATGATGTCTGTAGTAAATCATTTAGTAAGAGAAACCAATAAATATGATGTTTGTAGTAAATCATTTAGAAAGAGAAACCTAATAAATATGATGTCTGTAGTAAATCAATTAGTAAGAGAAACTTAATAATTATGATGTCTGTAGTAAATCATTTAGTAAGAGAAACCTAATAAATATGATGTCTGTAGTAAATCATTTAGAAAGAGAAACCTAATAACTATGATGTCTGTAGTAAATCATTTAGTAAGAGAAACCTAATAAATATGATGTCTGTAGTAAATTATTTAGTGAGAGAAACCTAATAAATATGATGTCTGTAGTAAGTTATTTAAGTTATTTAGTAAGAGAAAACTAATAAATATGATGTCTGTAGTAAATCATTTAGCAAGAGAAACCTAATAAATATGATGTCTGTAGTAAATCATTTAGAAAGAGAAACCAAATAACTATGATGTCTGTAGTAAATCATTTAGTGAGAGAAACCTAATAAATATGATGTCTGTAGTAAATCATTTAGCAAGAGAAACCTAATAAATATGATGTATGTAGTAAATCATTTAGCAAGAGAAACCTAATAAATATGATGTCTGTAGTAAATCAATTAGTAAGAGAAACTTAATAATTATGATGTCTGTAGTAAATCATTTAGTAAGAGAAACCTAATAAATATGATGTCTGTAGTAAATCATTTAGAAAGAGAAACCAAATAACTATGATGTCTGTAGTAAATCATTTAGTGAGAGAAACCTAGTAAATATGATGTCTGTAGTAAATTATTTAGTGAGAGAAACCTAATAAATATGATGTCTGTAGTAAGTTATTTAGTAAGAGAAAACTAATAAATATGATGTCTGTAGTAATTCATTTAGTAAGAGAAAGCCAATAAATATGATGTGTGTAGTAAATCATTTAGTAAGAGAAACCTAATAAATATGATGTCTGTAGTAAATTATTTAGTAAGAGAAACCTAATAAATATGATGTCTGTAGTAAATCATTTAGTAAGAGAAACCTAATAAATATGTTGTCTGTAGTAAATCATTTAGTAAGAGAAACCTAATATATATGATGTCTGTTGAGCCAGATTTGTGAATGCCTTTATTCTCTGATGAAAATAGTAGGCTATGTCCCAGTCCAATTATCCCAAGACAATAATCAATAAAAATAATCTTTATTTGAAATCAATTTAAAATCCATTACATCAATAAATAAGGTGAAAAATATCAGACAAAATATGCCAAAATCATAAAAGATTCCATTCAAAATAAATTCAATAAATTATATTTTGGCAGATTTGGTCAGGAGAGATATAAAACTTCATCAACTATATATATTTTAAAGTCTATTTAAGGAATAAATGTGGATCTTGGTATCGTTATAAAGAATAATTACTGATTGATCATGTGACTGGACAGACAACTGACCTAGCAAAGTGAGGAATGTGCGTTTAGTCACATGATCAACCAGTCTTTAGTTTCCTATGATAATAACACGATCTTGATTCATTCTGATAGACATAAAATCTCTTCCACTTTTTAAAAAAAAAAATGTCATATCGCTTCAATTTATCAATGCTATGTTGATTAGTAATTTTTTAAGCGTTTTTTTAAAATTGGTATACCAGTGATGGTTGAGAATACTGAAGAACTATCTTTGGTTATGTATGTTTTCACCAAATTTGGTGTTGAGTGTTATAGAAGATAGAAGCACTGGCCCAAGTCACAAGAAAAGAACATACTTGTTTTGCATCAATTATCAATTTGGGTATTTTGGTTGGTTTGCCAACAAACAGTATTGTGACACCAACTAAATTCAATGGTTAAACAACTGTTAAAATTGAATATAAATTTTCTTCAAAGAGGTATATCAACCAAATCCACCAAAATGTACAAAAGGCAAATAGAAAATTTCTATCAGAAAGTATATTTTGGTAGATTTAATTGTAAAAATGAACTGAAAGACAATAAATATCCTGATTTTTCTGAGTTCCATCAGACGAAAGTTTTTATGCTTATTTCAACTTTCCGTCTTCATCCAACAATATTATACTGTTTAGCTGTAAGGGATTGTTGTCAGAAATATTGTAACTTTCAGATCATTGGAAATTTACAAACTATGAATCCGGAGTCCTGTTTCATAAAAATAACAATAAAATTAAAATTGGACGAAATACAGTAATTTGATTGGATAAAAGAGTAATTTAATTTTGAATATTTTTGACAACCCATCCCATTGTTGAGACCAAATCAGTATAAATATTGTGAACTCAGTAAATCAGGATTTCAGCTGTTTAGAAAATAATAATTAAAAACAGCTGAATTTGGTCTCGTTCCCTAAATAACTCAATAATCACATTCTAAAGATTACGATAATATCCTCATTTTTACATTAATTGTTCCTTTATCAATGTGATTATTGAATAATCTAGGGTTTACGAGGATCAAGTAACTCGTAAATCTAGTGCTGATATCGGAGGTTTACTATCGTATGATTGGTTAATATCACAACTATTACTACTGGACGATGGTTCTCCTGTATCTGAAATATAAATTATAATTATTACAAATACATTACAAACAATCCCTTTACATTTCTGAATTATTTGTTTATCTTGTAAATCTTGCCCGATGTAGGTAATTTTCTATCAAATTGATGTATTCCAATGCTGCAATCCACAGTCCCTACTTGTGACCTAGGCCAGTGCTTCTATAGGAGAGTATATCTTATAAAACCTGTTTTCTTGCCATTACACAACAGGGATCTGTATTTTCACAAATTTCTTGATCCTTATTCTTTAAAAATTTACTTCTTCTATATTCTATTAAGACTTGCATCTTGCATTAGAAAACATACCTGTCTAACACCACCAGTAAGTGATATTATACTAGTGATAAAATCTACATGTATTTGTATATATAAAATTTGTCCAAACCTTGAGAAGATTGATGTTGATCTACGGAGGATGAAACACTGATATCTAATTCACCACTGTATGGAGTTTCCAGTAATTTTAATACACGTCTTATTTCAGAGTAATCTCCCTTCTCGGCAGCATCTATTGCATTCTGGGCTATATAGTTACGAAGTATTATTCTAAATAAATAGAGAATATGTTTATTATTATATAAATATTATTGAACACTGTGAGAAAAGAAAAGTTGTAATAGAGCTAAGCAGACCATGCTAACTTTTCAAACCAGCTGATGGTAAGCCAACCTCTTTTTGGAGGAGTCCACTGCTATACAACTTTTACTCCCGATTTTGCCATTATTTCGACAATATTATTGCTAGTTAACCTGTGTCCCTGTACAACCACAGACATGCATTCATCTTCAAATACATATTGAATATTTGATCCACTTTATTTGAAACCATGACAACTATACCTTGGATTATTCTGATTCATAATTTTAACTCGATTCTGATTGGTTAATAAAATATCATCTTGTCCTTCTGCTTCTAATTTCAACCTATCAGAATACTTCTTTATCCATTTCTCCCATAATTCCCTGTCCTTACTTGTCTTCTGTTCTTGAGTCACATCCTGGAGAGGAAACAGATGTGAGAAAAATTTGTCTAAAAATCACCGTGGAGAATTTCAAAAACGAAAATATATGACAATGTTTATATCTTTCTCAATCCAGAACCTTTTTTCAGTACTGTTTTGAAGCTGATATTCAAATTCACACGAAAATTAATCAGCCAAATTTCAAATAATAACAAAAATGTGAATTAAAATTCAAGATATCTAATTCTTTGCGCCAAAACAAACCTTTAATTCATTCAATTTCTCCATCTTCTCCAGTTCTTTTTCAAACGCCTCAAATCTTCGGCCCAGAATTGACAGGAGATCAGGGTTCGTCTGCATCAACATCATTAACATCTGCATCTGTCTATAAAATAGAGAAATTATTATCAAATGCAGTGAGGGAAAATTTGCCAGGGCCAGGACAGACATCAGCCTACTCATTTTCAATTTTTAACTGTTTTAAACGTGCATCAGCTTGGATCATTGACAAGGGAAACCAGGTTCCAAAATCAGCTAGTATTATCTCTAATTTCCCCCTGAACCCTAGACCTTCAAGTAAGCGAGCAAGCGTTATGCTCACTAAGCGACTGTGAGCAAAAAATCTCCAAAAATACCAACCTATATTAATGATGAGACATCTCAACTCTGCGCTAAAAAACCCACGGAATTTAAACCTTGTATTTACCTTGGATCCATGGTAGATCTGTTAGCTTTCCGTAATTCTTCAATCGTACAACTCTGTGACACAAGATACGACAAAATTTCAGCTTTCTTACTCTCATAGTCCTCACATTGAGGCAAGGGGAGAGAACTCAGACATCTAAATGTATTGGTGAAGTCACTTCCTGTTTCTTCCATGGTTGAGAATAATGCTTCTACTAATTCTCTAAAATTCAAAATAATTTTTGGAAAGAAATAATAAAAACTCTTTCCTCGGGGAATTTGCTGAGGCTTTAATTAAATTTTGGTTGAAATTTCTGGAATAAAGTGTGTTAATGATAAATCAATATTAAGACATAGATTATAGGTGATGTTTTGCAGCCAATACAAGTCTGACTTGTCACTGACTTAGGGTAGAGGCTTATATCTTTGTCAAGACAGCATATTAACACTTTTAACACTAACGCAATATATACCCGAGCAGCCGGTATACCGGCCGTTGCTAAGTGACATCATACAACGTTAACGTCATACGTTTTTACTTTTATTACTTGGAGTTCTGGGTATATGACGTTATATTTCATTTACACTCAGTGTTCAAAGGGTTAATATTCTATGATTGGGGTTAATATTTAATTCTTATTTACTTACTGATCTTCAGGTAAATCTTTATTTAATAATCCAAGCTGAAATAATAATTTAAAACACAACTTTAATTCTTAGATATTTCTTGACAAATAAACACTTCATACAAATGATATTTATCATCTATCAGATGGCAGAATACAATTTTATGGTATACTAATCCTTACAATACCACTTTAAAAAAAGTAGTATACCATGTTCGGTTGCCATTTGCGTTCAATTCGATAGTAAATTAGATATCATACTCAGGTCCCGCAACCTTGTTTCAGAGTAGAGTTATGCATTTTGATAATCAAATTAGCTTCACAAAATGGTGGGACCTGTCCCCAAGTCCCTATCAGGATCTGCACCAATGACTCTATCCTTTACATAAATAAATCAATCAAATCAAATGATACTGTAGCCTACCTTTTTCCTCATCTTGTCTTTATAGCACTTACTGAACTCTTCATCAAATAAAGATAGAAATGGTTTAGTTTGGTCGACAGGGACAGCCTCTTGGATTGCCTCCCCTAGTTTCATACAGTTCCACTTACAGATCTCTGGTTGGTTTTTATAAGAATATCTCCCACCATCATCTGGGGATAAAAACAGTTATAATTTTTTCATTTTTCATTTTTCAATTTTCAAATTAAGCATATCACATAGCTTGGGTTTAAATCATTTCCAAGCCTAACTAAATACTATAAACATTTTTATTTCAAATATCTAAGTATAGATTTACTAACACATAAGAGATCAGACCTGACACCTACCTGATCCATTACAGATAAAGTTGGGATCATATCTATCCATAAACCCATACGGACCGTAATCTATCGTCAAACCAACTATACTCATATTATCTGTGTTCAATACACTGAAAATAAATTAATGAAGTTTTACACCCTACATTCTGCTCCAATTAGGAAAAATGAAATGAAATGGAGTTTTACATCCTATTATGTTTTTTGTCCCAATCGGGAACAAGATAATGATGATAGACAAAATAATGAAATGGGAATTTTGACAGGACAGCAAAAAATAGTTTATTTGTTTTTCATTCCATACTGTCAAAGGTCTTTAAAATACACATAGCCTGAAGCCCAAGGTAATCATCTGCACCCCTCTAACTCGTATGTCTCACTGACAAGGAGAAATCATCTAACTACAGTGAAATGAAAGTATATACCTTACCCATGACACCAGCCTACAGCCTGCCAGTCTGCTACCAGTCTAGCTGTTAGTTTGATTATCTCCTTATACATTTCTATATACATCTTCATTTTATCATCAGAGAATTCTTCCCATATCTACAGTAATCACAAACTTCTCACATATATTAGTTGGAACATTACAATTTGTTAAATTTTATTTTGAATTGTTGAACAATATTTGTTTTCTGAAGCTGGCATGTACTCTTTCTTTAAACTCATATAAGACTGGGCCAGTCAGCGTCGTCTCCACTGTCTTTGATTATCAAGGCTTCGTAACAGAAATTCCTTGACTGACAAATTGTAGTGAAGTTGATATGGATAAACAGTTTGTAAAGACAACCTACCTGAGAGTAAAAAGTTTGTACAGACAGCCTACCTGAGAGTAAAAAGTTTGTACAGACAGCTTACCTGAGAGTAAAAAGTTTGTACAGACAACTTACCTGAGAGTAAAAAGTTTGTAAAGACAACCTACCTGGGGGTAAAAAGTTTGAACAGTATAATCTAACATCTGTATTAAAATATCTTTTCTTCCGATACTGGGACCACCTCGTCCTGTTTGACTATCTACAGGTTTAAATATCTCAAACGATCCAAACCTATAATTAGGAAATACTGACTCATGCTGAAGATACATGTTTCCAATATAAAACCCTCATCAGGAGTAGAGCTCATTTCATACAGCTGACACTTGTTTCAGAAGTAAAGTTCTCTTCTGGTATGTTACATTTTTTACTCAAATTATCTAAATGCTCTCTTCTTATATTGAATATGTGGAATAGCTATTGGTAGAAAATTAGATTGGAATCTGCTAGACGCATATGTGTCGTGGGTTCAAATCTCTTCATGTTAAGAACAATTCTGCTGCTACAGCCAGTGCTTTCGAGAGTTGGCTTTTACCTGAGGAAGGGCTAAAGTGACAAGGGTAGAGAAAAGAATCTTACTCATATCCGATCACAATTTTCCTTGTCTCAGGGATACATCAATTGAGAGTTACTCCGGCAGATGAGGGGAGGGTAGGGGTTTGCTATTTAGTTTTACCTGAGAAAAGTTGGAGCTATTCTGAGAATGATGGTACATCGTTCTTGTATCGGGTGACCATCATAAAATATATCACGGACTACTCGAGAATCAGACGTTACACAAGTTCCAGCTCGTGTTGTTGGGATTCCAAGGTGATGTATTGCCTGAAAAAACAAACAAAACTTTTACAATTTATGCTGCCCATCCTTTATTTTTAAAACACAGTCTAAAAAATATATGTTTTTATGATGAGAAAAATTAAAATTCTAACCTCAGAACATAGAAATTCCCTAATACTACTTCGTAGAACTTTTCTTCCGTCAGCGCTCCGACTGTACGGTGTTAGCCCCGCCCCTTTAAACTGAATTTCCCAGCGTTCTTTTTTCTGGTTTACAACTTCACCTAAATACCTGTAATAAAACATTCAAAATATTAAACACAAGTGAAATGAAATGAATGGAGTTTTATGTCCTACTTTTCTGCACCTTGTAGGCTGCAGTGAGGGAAATTTTGCCAGGACAGCAGCATTAGCCAAATATCAAACACAGGGATATATTAAGTCATTAAAACTCATCAATAATATACGAGTAGAGTTAACCCCCTTTATATCCAAAATGTTGATGTAATTGGATAAAAATATGAACTGCCCATTACTGTGCTACTTCGATAAAGTGAACCATAGTCCCATCAGACGTGTCATATTTAACAGAAAATTTTTTATCTTTCTATCTTTAACTCAAGCTTCTGCTATATAAAAGATTATAGAGAAACTTGCTGAGATTCAACTAAATAGAAGAAAATTAAAAAGCTCTGTAAGTGCTGCTGTAAGAAATGCTTTGTGACTTACATGGTAGCCCCATCACCAAGCTGTCCTGAAAAATATCCAAATTGATGTCCACAGTAACAATGAGCAGCAGGATCACATCCAGGCAACAATTTATTACCACTAAAATATTCAGCAAATTCTTTTCTTTCAAATTCAGATTCTGGGAGATCTAATATACCCATTGCTGTACTAGACACTGCGACTAGTTTAGGGTTCTCTACTGGCATGGGTTTCACTTTAGAAAAACAGGCACCTGCAACTTGTCTTGGACGATTTTCATCACTTGGATCAATTGGAAGACTGCGTAAAGCTAGATTATCAAAGTTGAGAGTTTCTAAAGTAGCCATCTTTGATAGTTTTCTGAAGAGAGGAGCACAGTAATGTTTAGCGTTAATCTTGAGGCGGTGTAACATCAAAACCGATTACAAAAATTTAAAACTTGATTCTTGAGTCCCCTAATTGCAGTTTAGCAGTCTTCAGGATGGTGGGTCTGTATTCTCTCTGAATGTTTCACACTGAAAAGTGAAAAGTAGACAGCACACTTATAACAAGCTCATGAAAACTGGGGGAGCAGACAATGTGGTTCATTTAATTGAGGTTGCACCTTGCAAACAGTTAAAAAGGAATTTTAAACCACGATTATTTGTAAGATGTCACAGAGTGGTTATTCTATTGAATTTTGAATCTATTGACATGATTGAACTGGTGAATCAGATCTGCATCTACAGTATAAAAATTATAGAAACCTTTTTAGTATCAGATGCTAAATTGTGCAAATGGGCCGACTAACTACTTGTGAACTTTTGAATGACCGAAGTGAAATGTGACCAACAGAAACTAGAGAAAAAAAGGTCACCCGATTTTTGCTATTCTCACTCAGTTTAAAAGTTTTGAAACCTGACAACTCTTCAGAATATTTCTTTAAGCTTCAATTTATTCTCATACTTGTTCTTTTAGCTAAAAACTCAATTCAATTCACTTTTTTTTCAATAAAAACTCACTTTTGTAATAAGTTTACATAAATCCTAAACCGGAAATGTAGCCATTTGATCCTTCAAAACAAGAGAGCGGATATTTGGTTTCAGACTACAAATATTTCTCCCTATCTTCATGTCGTCCATTATAGTTTATTTATAAACTATTTAATTGGTTCTATAAGCAGTTTGTGATTATTAGTGTTAATCTATGATGAAATTGAACTCTTATCAGGTCTGCCCAGGGGACTACGGGGGCTGGGCCCCAACAAATAAAAAATAAACCCCAGCACGAAATCACTCTATAAAGCGCTAGCCTATAGCACCATAGATCTAATTCATCACAAAATGTATTGTCTCAGATTGCTGTAAATACTGTTTGAGTGCTTCTGATTCTTAAAAAAGGTTGCCCTCCCTTTTTTCAGATCGCTGTGAATGGCACTTACGGGCACATTTTTCACTAAAAATTTACAGAACCCCATCGAAATTTTGCAACTTGCTGTTGGCCAAATAAAGAAAATTTTAATTCTTCAAGGTAATGATTTATAAAAATTACAACAAATAAAAAGATACAATCAATTATGGATGGACATTACAATCAATGCAGTGGGGGTGCCAGTGAGGGTGCGATTATGGCTGGAATTTCAAATAATAGAAAGACTAGATTTGAATCATAATTTTCATAAGTAGGACGTAAAACTCCATTTCATTTCATTTCAAACAGTTGACCAAAATCACAAGAAAATATTTCATCGCATTATAAAAATCTATGTATAAATCTATCCAATGATATTTTTAACTGTGAGATATTAAGCGGTATATCTGAAATATATTGTCCAATCTCGTTACGTTTGGTTACTATGACAGTGACTCCAACAACCAATGGAATGATAGAATAGCTTAAACATCGGATTATCTGTAAAGTAGAAAAAATAGAGTAAAAATTAAAGCGTAAAAATGATTTTAAAACTGTTTATGTGTATTGGGACACTGATAGCATTGATTTGCACCATTTTCAATCAGACGTATGCAATGTGGTTCTTGCAATTTTATGACGTCACTATCACACAGGCTTCTAAGAAATGATATCTAAATGCCTTGGTGATAGTGACGTCATAAAACAATTAGTTTAAGGTCCAGTTTTAATTTGAGCTCCTCCAAAATAAGCAAAGTGGCTGGCGTCTTTATCTTCCTCTTCAAGAACACATAATTGCACTGTGCAACTGGCGCTCTCAATTCAACTTTCCTTGTGACTTTTATTTTGGCAAATCAAATATCTTTTTCCGTCTAACCTTATCTTGTGTTTTTCTGCGTTCGATACATTGATGATACCTCGTCCTGGTGAAGGAGACCTAAAAAAAAAAACAAGTATAGGCTTTATGATTTAATTAGAATCAGATTATAGTCAATTTCGCTATTTTACAATTTTTGTTAAAACACTGTTTGGTCAGTCAATGTTTAACAATACGTATTTCTTAAACAATGCATTCGATTGGTTGAATATATAATGACCTAGAACATGAGAGGCATACCAATATTGTAAGATCATTAATAGCTTGTTGAGTCACCACATAAAAAGAAAACAGAAAACGAAACATCCAGATTTGCATTTGAATCAGTTTGAAAAGTCTGTTTGCTTCAGAAAAATTTGAAATTCTAAAATCTTACCATCGTATAAAGTGGAATCCATGATTTAGGAAATAATTTCTGTAAAAAATTATCCAACTTTTTTCTCAATAAAAATAATTTAGAGTTGACAGAAGATCTCATCTGAAAATAAAAAGAATATTTTGTATTAATAAGAAGTGGGCGCTGGGAGCGAGTCGGCTGTTTCATGTCCAGTTTCAAATCATCCCAGAGCAAGTATTTATTTAAAATTTGGGCCCAATGCAAATACTTCCTCTGAAACATTCAGAAACTGAATTACATGTCATAAACTGGCTCAGCGAAAACGAGGAAAAGTCTTTGGCCTCGTTCTATTTTTTGTTGGAACGGGGAACTGGACCCGAATGTAAATTTTTTTTTGAAGAAGGAAAGACATAAAATTTAAAAAAACAAGTACCAACGAAACCCGAAATCCATAACAAATATAGGCGAAACATTGGTAGCAGCTAATGAACTTTTCACATTATAAGTGGGTAAGTATTTCATAATGAAGAGTGGTATCAGGTGTCTAGAAGAGTAAGTATACCCTGTCTGATCAACATCTAATAAGAGTATTCTCTCCTACCTCAATATAATTATACATAGCCAATTCACAAATAGCTGTAGCATCCACATGACGTTTCTCTGTATAAGCTGGTAAAACTTTCGCTGAAATAGATAGACAAACATTTTCAGACAACTAAAACAGAACCTGAAACATGTTGTTAATCAGAGTTTCACGCATTGCAATATTCAGACAACTAAAACAGAACCTGAAACATGTTGTTAATCAGAGTTTCACGCATTGCGATATTCAGACAACTAAAACAAAACCAGAAACATGTTGTTACACAGAGTTTCACGCTATGTGATCTTTAGACAACTAAAACAGAACCTGAAACATGTTGTTACCCAGAGTTTCACGCTGTGTGATATTCAGACAACTAAAACAGAACCTGAAACATGTTGTCACTCAGAGTTTCACCCTGTGTTAAAATATAAACTTACTAAAATCATTTTTGTATTCATCCATTAGTTCATCTAATACAATACAATCTTCAAAACCCTATAATGACACATTTTATATTTTCATGAGCTGTGTGGCCCAGTGTATAAAATGCTTGTTATAACCAGATCCAGACATAGGTGGAAATGAGATGAATGGAGTTTTACATCCTACTTTTCTGAGCCATGTCGGCTAATGAAGACGGTAGGTATAGATGGAGATAGTACCTTCAGAGTTTTCAACCTGGTTTCTCCAAAAAGGAAAATAGTTTATTCATTCGAATGAGACAATAAATGAGGCGGCGAATGCTACAGGATGTGCTCAACAATTGTACAGAGTAGACTTAAGACGGTGTCCTGGCAAAATTTCCCTCATTGCACACTACAGGGTGTAGCCTGATTTCACTAGCCCAATCATTTGCAGAAAAGTAGGACATAAAAGTCTGGCATGTGATGATCTTTAATAAGTCCTGCTTTACTTTCCAGCTAACCCATGCGGTAAATTGTTACTGGATAATCTGGGGAAGATCAATGCCAAGAGGTCTAGCCAATGACGAACTGGTAGACAGGATCAAGTTGTAAAAATATTTTGTCTAATGAAAGATTGAATACCTACAATAGCTGGCAGTATGAGATGAGCTATTGTTGTTTTACTATTCAAAGTATAAGTAGTAGAAAATATCAGGACCTAACTTACCGCGTTCATCCCCTGCCCATAAAATGGCACCATAGCGTGAGCAGCATCACCCATTATCAACCCTTTCGTTCCAACATGGTACGGATGACACTGAATTAGACACTATATTAGACAATTTCCTACTTTCACTATAGAAGCACTATGGCCGAAGTTATAAATAGCTGCCTTCGTGTTAACAACCCCATGGTCCTCAATACAACTTGTTGTTGGTAATAACAAGCAAAGCTTACTCTTCCAGAACACATGATAGCACTCTTTGACTAGACTTGCCAACCCAGCATTCCTTTTAGTATAGTAATAATGATGTACATGTTGATGGTTCTATGGACTTGGCAGCCCTAGCAAACAGTCCACACTGCTAATGTTTTGAGGTATTCTTTGCAATAAATGTCGAATAAATCATTAAAGGGATTAGAAACAGGCAAGAAACCTCGTCCTGATCCCTTTAGATACCTTAATAGATATGAGTGGTTGAGCCGGAGTGGAGGACATTGTTTCTTTGATATTCTCTCTGAAAAATAAATAAAATAAATCAAAATAGTAGAAATATTAGCAAAGCCACGTAAATGTGACAAACAGAGGTCTGGGTCGGTCAAAATACATAATTGAAATATAAAGACAATTCTAAAGTTTGGTTCTTTGTGTTTAAAAGTGAGATAATGTCTTTATCTGCTGAAAATAAACTCCTCAAACCTTGGAGCTTGCACCTATAGCACTTCCACAACACTTCCGCATTTGGAATGTAAATCTCCCCCCCCCCCCCCCCGTCCCACCATAATGTAAGTCTGTTCCCAATTTGTACCCCCACTTACTGGAGGCTACTTGTGCCCGCTCATGCCGCCAATATCCGTACGAATCTCCAGCATCAAATATGTTAGATATTTTCGGGCCATTATTAACACCGGCAGTAAAATGTGCTCGTAGCCAGACATGATGTTGATATCATGTGATGTACAAAATAAATCCCTCTACCATTATGTAGCAATCACATGATCCACGGCAAAATTCCGCCAAGTGAAATACGCTCTCAAATATTCACCAGGTTTTCCCCTTCGTTATTGAGCATAAAAAAATCTCTGCCGATTATAATCCACATGAAAAATACGCTCGTGTACCCCTAGCATTATACTTACTCTTCTAATAAGGGAATGGAATCAGGGAAATATTTCTGGAAAAATTCGATAATATCATCTTTGGTTTTCAGAGATTCAAAGTTTTTAAACGGCATAAAGAGAGTAGTGGTGTAGGTTTTATCTTGATTAGGTAATGCTATCATCATAAACTCGTTTCGTGGCCAAATATGTAAATAATTTACTTCCATAGCAAACTGAAAATATAAGAAACAGTTGTTGGGATATTTAAAGAATTCTAAATTGGTGCTCTGGCTGGCATATGTGTTTCAGGGACAGTATTTTTTCAACAGCCCAAGTATTCTGTTTATGTGTGGGGGGCAGCACGGTTAGCTGAGTTGCCCCAGTGCACCGGTCACTATTTTCTGATTTACACAAACCCATTGAACTTCATGATTTCTGACACTAACCTTGGGATTTTTGACACTAACCTTGGGATTTCTGACAATAATCTTGGGATTTCTGACAATAACCTTGGGATTTCTGACAATAACCTTGGGATTACTAACAATAACCTTGGGATTTCTAACGATAACCTTGGGATTTCTAACGATAACCTTGGGATTTCTAACAATAACCTTGGGATTTCTAACAATAACCTTGGGATTTCTGACAATAACCTTGGGATTTCTGACAATAACCTTGGGATTTCTAACAATAACCTTGGGATTTCTAACAATAACCTTGGGATTTCTGACAATAACCTTGGGATTTCTGACAATAACCTTGGGATTTCTGATTTCTGACAATAACCTTGGGATTTCTGACAATAACCTTGGGATTTCTAACAATAACCTTGGGATTTCTGACAATAACCTTGGGCTATCTGACCTGATTTTGTTTGGGGTGTATAGTCAACTCGACGTAACCATGGGGTATATATTCCTGTTGATAGTCCAACCTCGTCCTTTTCATCATCTGGTTCCGTACTGCTGAAAACGCTCCGTCACAACCAATTATCAGGTCACATGATACAGTCACCTGACTTTCATCTGCTCTAAAAATAGTTCAAATATTTAATTCATAATAGTGTATACCAACAACATCTTCACAATGTCAAGGCAGTGGCGGAGCCAGGTTTACGGCCTGAATTTCTAAGTTATGAGATTACATATTCTTTACAGTATTTCTGTTGAGGGCTCTTACAGGCTGTGTTTAACAAACTCGAATTTCGTCTGACCACAGAATTGTTATCAGGAACATCATTTAATATTTCTATGACTCACCTTTCAAAAATGACCATTCCCCTGTCAAAATCACATCGTATCAATTTATGTTCAAAAAGCAATTTGATACCCTTCTGTTCAGCAGCTTCAAGATACAAAATATAATGATTAGGATCTCAATGATGTGATGGAGAAGATATAAAATATAGTATTGAAGTAAATATTCACCCAGTGACTAACTAAAGTCAGATGATGCAGGTCATGAAAGGCTTGGACGAGGAGGTTAAGGGCAGCTCCCCAGAAAGGAAGCTTCTCCCCCTCCCCCTCATTTCATTCTTAACAGTCCTGTGCTCAAAACAATTATTCAGTTTCGAGAATTAATTCAATATAAATCTGCCCACTTTAAAATAGAATAGAATATTACTGACCATTCAATAAAACTTCATTTAAATGTTTTCTGTCAACTGACATAATGTACTGAAATAATCAAAATATTATATAACCATTATTAGCTATGTGGACTCTCTATAAGGGATGCTGGATTGACAAACCTAAATACCAAATAAACATTATTAGCTATGTGGACTCTCTGAAGATGAAGGGCTGTCTAGTTGACAAAACTAATTATACCAAATAAATATTGTTAGCTATGTGAACTCTCTTTAAGGGATGCTGGATTGACAAACCTTAATAACAAATAAACATTATTAGTTATGTGGACTCTCTTAAAGAAAATTGGTTCCCTTAAACATACTGGCTGCCACTCTTAATGAATATGATGTTTGTAATAAATCATGTATTCAAATAAACTTCAAACCTTCAAGTATGTTGTAAATCATTTACTCAAAGAAATTCAATAATTTAAAAAAAAAAAAACAAGCCAATAAAAATTGTTGAACCTGATGTTTTTCACCGTATGGTATTGGTCTTCGAGTACCATCTAAATCATGTATCATTCTAGCGTGCATTGGTATCCCATTTTCTACTACCATGTCTTCTAGACCCACCATCTTTAAAGCTTCACGTCCCCTCCGTGACAGCGCTAAATTTATACTTCGCCCTTTTACATGAAGTTGTGTACGAATATCTGAAACATGTTAAAACTATTAAGTGATAGAAACACGATTAATAAAACACAAGTTTACTGTATACTACTTTTGATTTTTATTGTGCACAACATTTCAACAAACACCCCCCTCCCTCCTCTACTACACCTCTGATTTCTATTTGTGATATAAACCAATGAAATATGTTATCTATAAATAAAAGTACTTATTAATTCACTGTCACCTCCGTGTCTTATTTATGGATGAATAATGAATGAATGAAAACACCAAACATCCCCTCCACTACAAAACGCACTTATTTTGTATTTTTGATATTAACTAATGAGGCAGATGAATTTCAGTTTTATTTTAACAATTTATGGCCTCTGTGGTTTGGTTTTGGATGTATAAATTATGAATGAATGACCCACATCTTCTCCCACCCCCCCTTATCCTGTAGTTTGTACCTGTGATTAGAGGTAAGTATGTTATCTATGGCTTATCTTATTTATCTAGAATGAGACTGTGACGGGTGGTCAAATACAACACACCATACATAACTTATAATCAGTCTAATCTTGCTTATTTGCTTAAAGTCCATTTTGGACAGTTGACCCCCAATTCACGATCAAGCTGTTCTGGTGTTTAGCAGAAACATGTATAGGCAGTGTGGAATGAGTTCACATAATTCTCTATGATGAAATTTCAATAAAGCTGTTCTAATGAGGATTGTGTATCAGAAACATGAGATGAGCTCTTGTTAAAAAAAAATGAATACTTATCTTACCTGCTCTCATTTCATATAAACTCACTTTAAATCCTCTTTGAGCCAAAAAACAGGCATTTAATGCTCCAACCTGTAAAATATTAAAATAACAAGTTTTACTTCAATCATTGAAAAAAGGCTACAGGTTCCCTCACACTATAGTGATTTCCAGTTGTAGATGTTTGTGAATAATGAACTCAGTTGCATGAGAGTTTCATATCGAAACTTGAGACTGCTTTTCTTTTTTGGCAATCATATGCACCATAGACAACTGTGTAAGGCAGTGGCGGAGCCTCGTTTACGTCTGAGGTGGGGGCGGGGGGATATCTGTAGGTCTCCGAATTTCTAACCTAGTTATGAGATTTTTGCCCGAAAAACATGTCTTTGGGGCTGCAAGGGGGCTGCCCCCTCTCCTCCCCCTTTTGGCTCCGCTACTGGTGTCAGGACACCATTACAGATATATACAGAAATCAAAATGTCAAAACCTGAGCATGATAATAAAGTTTTACTTCCAAATACTCTGTCCACGTATTTTTAAAAAAGCAATTCTCAAATTTGGTGTTTGAAACGGTTTCTCTGTCGCCAAGTCAACGTATAGAAACTATACAAAGGACATAAGAATAATATCACACATAATAAGCCTAGTTCACACCTTGAAATTAAAGCAGAATGCCCCTTTAATAAGACAATAAATCAAAGTTTTTTCAACAAATTGAAAGTGTTAACCTGTAAAACATAATTCTCTTAAGCTCTGGTCGAATGGGGTAACATGGAAATAATATCTAGTCTATGTGACTATAGACCAAGGCCTCAAATGCTACAACCTAGGGCACATTAAAAGAGTCTTTGACAGTTGAAAATTTGGAAAAGAGTAGGCTTATGACGCTGTCTTGGCAAAAACAACCATTATTGCTCCCCCGGACAATCAAGTCTGGCTATGGTCCAGCCTTGTACCGGTGAAAAAGTAAAACTTACCAGCCCTCCTCCGACTATTACGATTTCTTGCCCTGTCGTCGCCATTTTTTTAAACTTTCACTCTACCTTTATATCATACTAGCTCAATGGAAACGTTTTATATTGTAATCTTTATTCTAAGCTGCAATTCCTAGAGATTACGGACATATTGTTACTATAAGTAAAAATAAACTAGAGTCGTGTAAACATCACGTGACCTATCTTTCTTATCTTATTGGATGAGGTAACTAAACCACGCCTACTGATTTGAATACTCTCAGGTATCACTTGGAAAGTAGAGGGGTGGGGGCGATTCTCAGGTTAGGCAAAAGACTGTTCCCTTTAGTTTCACCTGGTAACCCAATCCTAAATTATTGAAGAGGTGATTTTCCGCTAAAAGTTCCCCTGATTTTAAAACAAGGTGTGTAATGTGGTCGATGGTTCGATTTTTGTGATTGGGTGAGTGATTCAGGCGAAAGTGGCTATCTGTATAGTTGTCTAAATATTTACTTTACCAGCTGATAGAGCTCAATTTCAGTTATTTGTATAGTCATCTAACTATTTACTATACCAGCTGAGAGAGCTCAATTTCAGTTATCCGTAAAGCCGTCAAAATATTTACTTTACCAGCTGATAGAACTCAATTTCAGTTATCCGTAAAGCCGTCAAAATATTTACTTTACCAGCTGATAGAACTCAATTTCTGCTATCTGTATAGTTGCCTAAATATTTACTTTACCAGCGGATAGAGCTCAATTTCAGCTATCTGTATAGTGATCTAAATATTTACTTTACCAGCGGATAGAGCTCAATTTCAGCTATCTGTATAGTGATCTAAATATTTACTTTACCAGCTGATAGAGCTCAATTTCAGCTATCTGTATAGTTGCCTAAATATTTACTTTACCAGCTGATAGAGCACTATTTCAGCTATCTGTATAGTTGCCTAAATATTTACTTTGCCATCTGATAGAACTCAATTTCAGCTATCTGTATAGCCATCTAAATATTTACTTTACCGGCTGATAGAACTCAATTTCAGCTATCTGTATAGTCATCTAAATATTTACTATACCAGCTGATAGAACTCAATTTCAGCTATCTGTATAGTCATCTAAATATTTACTTTACCGGCTGATAGAACTCAATTTCAGTTATCTGTATAGTCATCTAAATTTTTACTTTACCAGCTGATAGAGCTCAACTTCAGCTATCTGTATAGTCATCTTAATATTTACTTTACCAGCTGATAGAGCTCAATTTCAGCTATCTGTATAGTCAGACTTGATTGTTCAGGGGGCAAATAATATATCCGGAGGGGCAATGAGGGAGTTGATATTGGTGGACGGCCAGTTTTTTTGCGATGGGGGCATTGGTGCGGGCCTGGAGGTATTCGCTGTTATCCCTCGCCATACTTGATTAAGAAGCTATTTTTAAACCAGTTCAGTGATTTGTCGGACACGAATTACCTACATGTTATGGTAAACTATTTATTTGAATGGACTATAAAATGAAATTGAAAGGACAACTACTCAACCGAAACGTATTTTATCTCGGTCCGTTGTTCATTTTCTGACAAATATAAAATCAGTTTGATTTTCTTCTATACATATTTACAAGATATACAAAAAGCAATTCCTTCAAGGAGTTGATGAAAAGCGATCTGTTCTGCCGTGGACATTTTACTATCCTAATAATCTCTACATTATTGAGCTAATGAAATACAACTAAAGTGTTGTTTCCTGTATGGCTATATTTATCAATGCGGCTAAATACCACGTGACTGATCAACAATAAAGCAGTTATTACCAATGAGAATCTCGACAACGGACCTATTATTTTGGGTGTTGTTGAAACCCTAAAATATTATATTCATCTTATTTCTTGCTATTTTTGTCAAGTCATCCTCCAATTCAAAGATGCGGTCGGGATTTTAACATTGGAATTATCCACGGTCGTTCATGTTCATATCACCGAAAGCCTGCAATCTTTACAACTAGGTAGGTAAGACTTTTGAATGTTTTTACTGTATCTCGACTGTGTGTGTTTTATTTTCATGTATTACAATTGATAATGATAGAAATCGATTTTGCTGTATATAAAGAATGCGATAAATTGTTATTTAAACGGGGTGAAGCAAGGCGACGTTATAAAGCCGTATCTGTTTATTATTTATACTAACAATATTCAGATATTATGCTGTACGACTAGCTCAAAAGTATCAAATGGATTATATTTTCTCGTTTAATTTCATCAGTTGATATTGTCAAACATTGGTATTCTATCGAAGATTGTCCATAAACATGCGATATTCATATATATTTATGTATAATTTATATAAATACATGTATGGTCATTTCTTCACTAGATATCTAGTGGATTAGGATATCCATACAGGCTGACCTGACGTCTCACAACGCCAGGAAGGTCGGTGTAGGCCATTTGGAACATATTTTAAAAAGAACATGATTTGAATGCAAACCGATCAAGATAACTGAAAATTGGTAGCCGATCGTACATAAGCTGAAATTTGATATATATGACTTGTAGAAAAATGACATGCGCATCTAAAGAACATTTCAAATACAAATCAGAAGAGTTCGCTTTATTTTCAGGTGAATTAAATTACAATTGATACCCTACATGTTATACATACTCGTTATTATTATACTACCTATATCTTAAATACACTGCTCTTGTTTATATTCTTAATTGTCCATTGTATAAATATATTGTATTATCTATACTAAGATTTGATTACAGGCTATTTAGTCGTGCCAATATAAAGGTGTAATAAAACAGGTAACCACGTTTGACAAGTAATAAACAGCTGTTGACCTTGTGTATATACCCTGTTATTACTGACCAATGAAATATGGGTCGCTGGAAGCGAACGTTAACTTGTCATCTACCTACCTACCTACCCATGAAATATAAGACTAACGGGATATTACTTTGTAACAACGATTGAACATGTTATACATACTAATGTTTTATTTTGACTATTTTCACAATATCAAGCTATTACGAAATTCGTCATATACCTTGACTGTAATAGTCACCTTTCTTGTATCTTCACAACGTCAAGCTAATATGAACTTAGTCTATACCTTGACTGCAAAAGTCATCTTTCTTGTATCTTCACAATGTCAAGCTAATACGAACTTCGTCTTATACCTTGAGTGCGATAGTCACCTGTATCACCGGTGTTTGTAAATGATTGACGCTAGTAAATACAGTCAATCAGAGGCCTCGCCAAAAAGTTTGTCATAATGTCTACAGTCTTTCTGTCGAGGGCTCTGATTAGTTATATTCGCTGGCGTATATACTATCAAATCAAATTGCTGCATTCCGTAGTACAAGAAAGGTGGCTATTTGAGTCAAGGTATAAGCCAAAGGTCGTAATACCCTGACATTGTGAAGATGACTATTGACAGACTTTGACTTCTATGGTCGGTGCATCTTCACAATGTTCAAGGTATAAGACGGAGTTCGTTATACCTCGACCATTGCTAGATGTAGGTTCAAGTCGAAGTCGAGTGACTTGCCCTGTTTTAAGCAACTTAAATATTGTGTCTGTTTATTTCAGAATTTGTTCAAGATGTCTACCAGCCACAGTCCTGTCCGTGTGGTGCTAATTTTTACCGCCTTTCTGTTTTTCCTGGTGGCCATTGTATTCAATGTTTTATCTTTCTATGGCGGACAAGAACTGGGTATGTTATTTTCTTCGAACCAAATTCCTGTCTGGTGCTGATCTAGCTATTCGGCTAGGGTGGATCTTAGCCAATACCCCATGTCTCTGCTGTATTTACCTCTCGGAGTCCCGAAATGATTCACACATTTTTGTGCCATGTGTTTGAAATTGTTCTAGTAAGTTTCAGACCATGTCTACGCCCACAACTCATGTCAATAACTTTGTAACCCAGGGTTTGTCTTCCTTTCAGGTATTTTTAGAGCAGATATGCTAGAAAATGCCACCATGGAATATTATACCGAAGTCGGACCTGCTAGTTGGACGTTTGGTTTGTGGGCATTGATATATGTTTGGCAGGCGTTATGGTTGGTGTATGCCTTGTCGACTGTTTGTAGAACCCGAGACGGTGAATACCTCTACACCATGGAGTTCATGTCCCCAGGAGTATTCCTCATGTTTATAATCAATTTATGTTTTAATGTGGCCTGGTTGATTATATGGGATCGTCGTTATGTCATTTTAGCTTTCATAATCATCGCTTTGTTACCATTTACTCTCTACGTCTCTCTTTACTTCTCTTTTTCACGTCTGTACAGAAATATCGACGTCATGTTCAAACGTCATATGGATACTGACGTCTGGTTAGTACGTCATCTGATGCAGAATGGTCTCTCGTGCTATGCCGCATGGGTTACTATAGCTACCATGGTGAGCCTGACGACATTGTTGACGTATTCGATCGGCGTTCCACAGTCGACGTCCTCGTCCATTGTTTTATGTGTTATTGCAGTAGAGGTTGTCATATGGTTTTTACTAGATGTGATTTTATTTGATAAATACACACGCTACGTCTACTCGCCATATATCGTACAAGCAGTAGCAGCCGCGGGAATAATGGCACAGAATTATGACCTGAACAAACGATTCCTAAATTCTATTTTTATGTTATGTTTAGTTGCCGTGGCAGGTGCTTTACTCATTGCTAAAATCTTCATTATTCTTATTCGCCATTTTGTAACTCCCAAATCAAAAGGTAGTAAAAGATATTATGTAGGCGACACTTTAAATACATCAATGGTCCGTATGTCATAAAGCCGGGACTGTCGTTTTATAGAAAATTAATCAGGGAAACTGTTTTTTACAACTGTCAAAAGAATCACCCTATAAATCAATTCCATGGAAAAGACAAAGACAAAATCTTAAAGCATATTAGAGTGTAGTGCTTGGCCCGCTACAGCAGTTTTTTGAGTATGTTCTGCTTTTGAACAGTTAATTACATTGAAAAGAAAAGTGCGGCATGGATTTAAAATAGATGTGAATGAGATAGAAAGATATAATTTATTCCAATTCTACAAGTGGATCTAAGAAAGAGACTTCTAGACAATTTCTAAGTTTAATGATTTCAGGAAAGCTTTTGATTGAGTGTGTGGTGATAGTCTAGTGGGTATTTTATATTTATAGACGTATTTAATATATAATTAAAAGATATTTCATTCACTTTATTAGTCTTTTTTAAGGATATTCCGTAAACTAAGTATTTCATTGCTTGTATTTACGCCATCTGTATAGTCATCTAAATATTTACTTTATCAGCTGATAGAACTCAATTTCAGCTATCTGTATAGTCATCTAAATATTTACTTTATCAGCTGATAGAACTCAATTTCAGCTATCTGTATAGTCATCTAAATATTTACTTTATCAGCTGATAGAACTCAATTTCAGCTATCTGTATAGTCATCTAAATATTATTCACTTTACCAGCTGATAGAGCTCAATTTCAGCTTTCTGTATAGTCATCTAAATATTTACTTTATCAGCTGATAGAACTCAATTTCAGCTATCTGTATAGTCATCTAAATATTATTCACTTTACCAGCTGATAGAGCTCAATTTCAGCTATCTGTATAGTCATCTAAATATTTACTATACCAGCTGATAGAACTCAATATCAGCCATCTGTATAGTCATCTAAATATTTACTTTATCAGCTGATAAAACTCAATTTCAGCTATCTGTATGGTCATCTAAATATTATTCACTTTACCAGCTGATAGAGCTCAATTTCAGCTATCTGTATAGTCATCTAAATATTTACTTTACCAGCTGATAGAGCTCAATTTCAGCTATCTGTATAGTTGCCTAAATATTTACTTTACCAGCTGATAGAGCTCAATTTCAGCTATCTGTATAGTCATATAAATATTTACTTTACCAGCTGATAGAACTCAATATCAGCTATCTGTGTAGTCATCTAAACATTTCTTTGGTGGTGCCCCTTTGGTGTTTCTAAGAAAAACTGAAATCGCACTGAACTAATCCTGTCGTTTAAAGCAGATTCTTACCAGTCTGGCTGTATATAAAGCTACACATTCGTCTGTTATATCATGTCTAGAAATATTCCAAAATTAAATTTTCAGGAATATCAACGAAGTACGCACCGAACTCACTACAATCTCAATACAACTTTGACAGAAATCTACAGAATATGAACACTGAACTGATCTTTCATACGTATGAACAAAGCACTATAATCCTTTCACAATATAAACCCGTAAAAGCAAAACAAATCTAAAGAATATTGGCTATGAACACTATTAGTAAAATAACCAGGAAACTGGCAGAGTTCAGACCGGAACCGGAAACAAACATTCCAACATTGCTCCATGTTCCGTTATTGTCAAGTGCTTCAACTCCAGTTATTAAACACATAATCTGATACAGATCGATATTCCTGATTGATGCTGATCTATAATTTACTGCAAAATCTGAAATATTGATAAATTTTTAATAATAACTGTTGATGATGACTTGATGATGATGGTTGGTAGTGGCGATGATGAATGACGACACAAGATGATGATGATGATGATGATGATGATGAGGCTAGAGAATGATGCTTACTGGCGCAAGATGATGATGCTTAATGGCAATGATGATGACGACTCTAGATGATGATGATGACAACGCTAGTTAATGATGGTGATGACGACACGAGATGAAGAAAATGGATGAAAGAGAGTCATTTATTACTATTATCAAATATACTTACTTGGTCCAGTGGCTATAAATATACCATGCATTTCTTTTAATTTTGGGTCGTAGCCATGTTCTCCTTTCATAATTCCCGTATCATAGTGATAAAACCCAAAATCAGGCTGAAATAAACACAACAAAAATAAAAAATATCTCTCCATAGAAAAGTTAGAAATGTTGCGTGTACATGGATTCTGAATCCCACAATATTCCAACATCAATTGATCAAATCTAAAACTTGTAGCAAACAGAATCCTGTGGTAATTGTTGGGAACTCGTTAATATAAACCACTTTGTCTGCCATAAAAAAAAAAAACGGGAGGGCGATGTAGGAAGCGGCGAATTCAGGAAGGAGTGAGTTGGAGAGGGGGCGATATAGGAAATGGGCGAAATGGGATTAATTTAGGGGCAAAATGGAAAGGTGCGATATGGGAAGACACCGTCCATCCATGTTGACATCACCTTGAAAAAAAATGCATTACCGTATCAATATACCACCCTATATCAGCTACCAGTAATAAAGGAGCAATCCTACTATTATTAGTATAATACCATTCTACGGGGATGTCCTCCTTTAAAAACACTCTCATATGACGATCATAATTCTTTAATAGTCGGTAAATCTGTTGAAGAAAATATATGAAAAAATTAATTCCCAAATTTTATAGTGCAGAGTTTCAATGCATTCGTGAAAACTACTAAGAACCTAATCCACTTTTCATCCAATCAGCATTGGCTAAATTTTCTTTTGAGTAGCTTACTTAATTACCAATTTCACATTCACGTGACATTTCGAGTGACAGCCAACTTCTTAATGATATTACTATAACTATGGAGTTTTCTCTTCAGAACACCGAAACGACTAGAACAGGTAGCAACGAGATGATTTTCTATCGAAACTACGTACCTCGTCTTCAAATCCATCTTTGGGCCAGATAGAAATTCTCGACCCATATCCATTGATGACGTGTTTAATATTTTCCATTGGTAATACTGACGTCACATTAATGACACGTGACAAAGAAACGTCTGTCATTCCATGGTCAGAAAATATCATAATGTTGACGTCATCAGTGGCGCCAAAATCTTCTAATTTCTGAGTCAGTCTTGAAAACTCTAGATCAACGTTCTTCAACCATTCTGTGACCTCGGGTGACTTTGGACCATATCTATGACCCAGATCATCGATTCCCTCGTGATATAACCCTGAAATATGTTACAAACAGTCATGTGAACAATTACTCTTACTCTATTACCTATAATTACTCTGACCCATTTATGGTGACCTAATAACCTTGTGACCCTATAACTTAAAGAACTATATACGTTCTGACAAAATTACCATATGACCTTATTACCTTGTGACCTATTTACGTTCTGACAAAATTACCATGTGACCTTATTACCTTGTGACCTATTTACGTTCTGACAGAATTACCTGGCTACCTAATTACTTTCTAACCAAATTACCTTGTGACCTAAATTACTTTCTAACCAAATAACCTTGTGACCTAATTACCTATGACCTTGTGACCGTGTGACCATTTTCTCAGAGCGATTGACCATGTGATCAACTACCAATAATCAACTTGTCTTGTGACCAAATTGTAATTACTCTGGCCAAACTGCCTTGTTATCTAATTAGCTACCTACCAACTTACCGTCATCTATTTGTTGTGACATATGACCTATTGACTTCTTGTGACCTATTTACCTTGTGACCTATTTACTGTAACTCAAAAAATCTGACTGTGACCAAATCTTCCGTGACCAATTTTTTGGACCAAATAACGACCATTACGTACCATAGTAAAATACGTATCAACCACCTGATAAAATACGTATTAACCACCTGATAAAATACGTATCAACCACCTGATAAAATACGTATCAACCGCCTGATAAAATACGTATCAACCGCCTGATAAAATACGTATCAACCGCCTGATAAAATACGTATCAACCACCTGATAAAATACGTATCAACCGCCTGATAAAATACGTATCAACCACCTGATAAAATACGTATCAACCGCCTGATAAAATACGTACCCACTATATCAGTTGTACCATTCAATAAAGCCTGTAAACCATCGTCTATATCATGTCTAAAATATTTTATTTTTTTAACTGTAGAGTAAGGTCGAAAGTGATTCGGTCGTTCATTCTGTATTTTAACATCACCCCCTACCCAGTTATACATAAACACACTCTTTCCCTAAAATAATAAAAAAATAACGCCATTATATTTGCAATTAACTGAAATTAATGGAGTTTCACGCCCTATTTTCTGTACTTGATTGGGCTAAGAAAGACAGGCAACGCTATGCAATGTGCAATGAGGGTAATCTCTCTTGAAAGAGACGACGGGACGGGTTGCATAGACCATAATATCAACCAAAACTGAGAAAATGAACAATTGACCAACCTGTTTCTTGGCAGTTATCCAGAAAGGCTCAGCTTCGTTAAACCAGAAACTTTTATCATCTTCGCTACCAGAATCTGGTGGATAAGTCTTCCCAGTTTCTACATCATACATATCATTATCGACAAACCCATGGTCTTGAGCGTGTAGACCTACAACAAAATAGAACAAGTCAAAGTAATGAGTAGAAGCTATCTGGGGTTACTTTTATCACCAGTGTGGAATTTACCTTGAGAAACAACCGACAGAAGATGAGATGTCAGAAATGGGGCCTTATCTGTTGTAACATATATAAATCGATATATGGCTCTGTGTAAAAGAAACTCGTAGTTACATCTTTTGTAAATGAATTTGAAAAGAGGTTTAAACAACGGGGTATGGTCTACCTAGATTATTAGGAACCTCGGTGTGTTATATATAACAGGGAATGTAGGGAGGGGGCAGTTTTGTAGGGCTGAAAAACCTCCTTACTTTTAAATCATGAAACCCACAAAGAATTTTGTTCGGAATTGGCTCACCTGTCATAAGAGAATAATGATTAGGATACGACACTGACGGGAATTCAGGGATCAACGATTCCACATGTACTCCTCTCTCCATAATCCCCTTTAATCCGGGCAGATTCACATAATCCGGGTCGAGATAATCCCAACGTACACCATCCAGTAAAAACAGAATCAATTTCTTCCCGTTCACATCTTCGCCCATCAAGAGACATAGTAATAATATCACCAGATTCCTCATCTTTGCTCTGTGAAGATGTTTTTGGTTTGTCCAATTTGATAGTTTGATAGTTTGATAACGTTCTTTTTTGTCCAATGCAGTAACCGTAACTTCACAAAGAAGATAAGGCCTAGTACAGATCGCCAATCCACGTCAGCCCACCACAACAACTGAGGATGGCTGCAGTATCCAAAACTTCGCAAGTCAGATTGATCATCCAACCAAGTTACTGACTATATATATGGTTGAAATATCCGAAACTTCACAACCACTGACTATAGGTCGAGTATCCGAAACTTCACAAGTCAGATAGATGAGATGGCTCAATCAATTCAGACAATAAATTAAACGAAATTACTGACTATGGGTTGAGTATCCAAAACTTGTTTTTCAAGTTAAGATCAGCTGTTCAGTTCGGCTTACTCTAAATATAGATTATATATTATGTATATAGTCTACCGATTGTTCTGTTATCTTTTTGGATGATTTAACTTGTTGAGTAGAATTTCATGTTTTAGATCTATCTGTTACATTCATACACTTCTTGTTTCTCAACTCATAAATCTCTTCAGACTTCATCGAACATCCATGTAACACTTAGAGTTAAACCACTATACTGGAATTATTCTGTAATTTCTGAAGAAATTGATCGGATAATGACGTCACTATCGTTCATATCATTAAACCTGCGTGTCCCTGATACACTTATGTATAGTTCTAAAAAAAATCCGTATTCCAACCTTGTCGAATGTGTTTTATGCTATTCTTGGGGTGAATTGAAATGCCTACTGGATGTCCAAACAAAAAATACCACATCCGAAAAACATATAGAGCAAAACAGCAATTTACTGCAGGTTGAAAGCGTTAGGTTAACCAATGTTCACTACAGTGTGAATATACAGTAGACATATTATTGGTATCCCACTAACAAAATTATTCTCGGTTCCACATCATTGTTTGAAGGTGGGGATATTGATTAAAACTTGAGAAAACGAATAACCACTGACATTATTTCTGTTATTTTCATCTATTTTACCACAAGCAATGTTACAATTTGTGGATTTTTAAAATTTCCTAACCTTTAACTTATACGTTGTTTTTTTTTATAATCTTGACCAGTGCTTTTATGAGACTATGTTCTCATCACCATCTAACACTACCTTGATGACGTGACGTAAATATACCACAGTATAGTGTTAACCATATGAAGAAGTTATCTTAATCTATCTTTAGAGAACACCCAAAAAACATCAAGAACAAAACATTAATTCACTTCAAGATGACTAAAGACTCCAATCGAGTTAAGATGTTGGATCTTTACCTTAAAATGAATATTTGACACTAAACCATCAGATTCAAAACACGACACGAATTTATCTCAACTAATATTGAGATAAAAAGTCTTTAAGCAAACACTCGATAATTTCAATATTTCGTCTGTCGGTGAAAATCTGTTGATTTTAGACAGGGTTATAAAGATAATGAAGCGATTTGTTGACTCGAGACGATAAGAATTCAAACATCACGACTGTATCGTGCTTAATCTCAGAAAATATCCAATAATCTTAGAAAATACTGGAATGGTTCCATAGGGATCACAGTCTTATGGAGACGATTCCAAACAAAGATGGGTAGATTTAGGAGAGTGGGGGTGGGGAGGTTAGGCCTTAGTCTTTTCCAAGAAATAGCCTTGAACAGCTCTTAGAAATATTCAATAGGCTTAGAAATACTGGAATGGTTCCATTGCGATCACAGTCTTATTGAGACGATTCCAAACAAGAATGGGGGGGGGGGGGGGGGGGGGGGTCCTGTGTTAGTCTTTTCCAAGATGCAAGAAGTATATATGCGCACTGCTCACCTCCGAGAAATATTGGTATCACCAAACCACCTTATTTAAAGATAATGTTAATAATGAACGATTGTATCTAGCTTGAACATTTCAATATGCCTGTCATTGTTTTTAGATATCTTTTCGATATTACTTACATCATCTCGTAACATTCAGAAAGTTGAAATTCGCTTTGTCAGGGAAAAAAATGTATTGGGTGTCGAAATGACTCCCTCACACTTACCCATAACCACAGGTCGTGTATACCCCCTTTCCTGTCTGAGAATCTAATTCCATTAACTCTAATGATACTTGGGGAATATCTGGTATTAGCTGAAAGTCAATATTTAGACGGTTAGACCAGTATACATCATATCACTTACTGGATAATAAAAACTAAACTTGAAAACTAGCCAATAACCGATAGCCTGGGCCTCAATATCTTAACTAAGACAGTTCTAGTCATCTGATTGGTCAATCACTAACATAGATTTCAAAATATGCCCTTTTGCAGATGACAGGCGTAAAATTTAAGTTTCTTGATTTGAACGGACAGCTGAATTTGAACTTAGAACAGTTCTATCAGCTGGTAAAGTTAATATTTAGATAAAATTATTCCTTTAAGTTCTATCAGCTGGTAAAGTTAATATTTAGATAAAATTATCCCTTTAAGTTCTATCAGCTGGTAAAGTTAATATTTAGATAAAATTATCCCTTTAAGTTCTATCAGCTGGTAAAGTTAATATTTAGATAAAATTATTCCTTTAAGTTCTATCAGCTGGTAAAGTTAATATTTAGATAAAATTATCCCTTTAAGTTCTATCAGCTGGTAAAGTTAATATTTAGATAAAATTATCCCTTTAAGTTCTATCAGCTGGTAAAGTTAATATCTAGATAAAATTATTCCTTTAAGTTCTATCAGCTGGTAAAGTTAATATCTAGATGAATTTATCCCTTTAAGTTCTATCAGACATATTCTCGTGACTATTAAATTCTTTCAGCTGGTAAATTAAGTAATCAGTCTATATACCCTTAAGTTTATGAACTGGTAAAGCAAATAATTAGACATCCATTTAAGTCCGGGTATTTCAACCTAGTAATTTGGGGAAAAAAAATAAAAGGGGCAGGGGCTTGAGATGCTTTGTAGTGTAGCATAAATTTTTTGGACAATTCTAATGTAAATCGTTCTATTCAGTCAGGCTATATTCTCAGACATGAAATGATTAAATGGAAAACTTTTTACAATGTAAGAAAATAGTAAGATTATAGGGGGTCAGGGGGAATTGCAATTGATCAAGGACCCTGAAAAGGGTACTAGAAAGAAAAAAGGTAGAAAACCCCTGCTTAAAGTTCTATCGGAGGTAATGCAACTAATTAGACAACCAAATATCATCAGTTAATTAAACGGCTGTATCCCTTTAAATAGACCAGCAGGAGACAGACCAGGGTAATAAAGAAATGAAATTCTAGAGAAATAATTAGTTGATATTTCATTAGACTAATGGTTTGAATGGTATTAGAAACGTGACCAGGGTTGATATCGACCGCTATGAATAATACAGACCACAAATAATAGACCAGGTGCCCAGAGACGTGAAGGGTCACTCTAGCTTTAAAACTGGCCAATCCCGATCCTTATACTTGTATATCACTTTTCTCCACTGGACATTCTCTTCGCAAAAAAAAAGGACGTCTGCTGGGCATGCCAGATTGGAGGTAACAGGAGATACCCTCTCTTATAGAAGTACTGACCTAGGTCACAGTGGTACGGAGGTCAAAGAAGGGTGCTTAATAACTAAGCTAGATAACTTGTCAGATATCAACTGGGAACTATAACCAAAGTGATCAGTACACAGCTAAATGCTATAAATGACTATTGCCATACGATTCTAGTTGTTGAATGTGTCCACCAGACAAAAATAACTGATGCAAGAAAATTGAGCTAGATCAGCTGAAGAGCCTAGAATGTTAGTGTATTTTGAATGACCAAAGCCAGATATTTTCTGTGGTGGAAAACATCTCCCAGCCCAAAGTGATCCCAACCTCTTCAATGGCCTATACGTTAGCTTATGAGTAAAATAATGAAATGTTTTGTAGTTTGTCTGTCGATCAATGCCGGATATATTCTGTGGTGGAAACTCCTTGTCAGACGTCTTCAAGTGATCCTCTTGAATGAAGACGGTTGGTTTATTTTATGAGCTAACCAAATGAAACCCTTTATAAAATATAGCAAAAGATCTGAATTAGGCTTATCATTTTAACAGAATGAAAGACTGGGAAGAGACATGAATAACCAGCTCATATGTCCATTATTGGTACGGGTCTTATACGATAATGATTCAGAGTGAAAAAGAATAATAATCTGTTTTTTTATCTTCAGCAGAAAGGAATTTAACAAAGAAAGATTTTATAATAATATATTATTGAAATTTTATACAGATAATAAATTCACTGTCAGTAAACCATATAAAATAATACAGTTTCACACAATTCTACAGTTATTCTTCGAAAATATCATTTCACAATGTCATCTGTTATTAACCAAAAAACACAAGAAAAATAACTGTTCTTATGTATTTAGAAAAGATATACTTAACACAAATGTGACCTATATGCAGAAAAAAATGATAGTGAAAACAGCTCTTGAAGAATGAAATTTGTTTAAATCATCTTCTATGAGATTTTCCACTTGAATAATAAAGTTGATTAAAGAGGAAAAATTATTCACAAAATAATAAATGCACAGACTAACACTCACTCGGGCTAATAGAATTACAAAGAATACTGTTTTTTAAATTATTCCATATTTCATAAATTTTGGAAAAAGCCCATTTCAAAGGTGTAAAATATAGCACTATTTTTAAGAAAAAGATCAAAAATATAAAACAACAGTTACTTTACAAAAAACAGACATGTTTAAAATTACTTTACACTTTACAATCATATTTTTATCTGTAGACACTTTGTGCAGTTTTTTTCATCACCCAAAATAAAATTTTGAGTCCACAACAAAGTACAGTAACCTTTTTAAATGCCCTGAGACAATTTTCACACATGCATTAACAAATCCATCACCTTAGAACTAGTAAACGTGAACTGAACAGTATGTGAGAAAATTCAAAATAAAATGCAAATAAAACAAATTTTTTAACAAATTACGTAGATAATTTAAGTGTAGAAATTAAAAATTTCAAAATGGTGATAATCTATCAAAATATATAACTGTAGTTCATAACATATAAAATTATATGGAAAAATTATGCATTTTTTTTTAGCGTAGAGAATATTTGAGTAATCACACGATTCAGAAAAAATGTTAACTTTCAAAAATGATAGAAAATTTTGTATGCGCATAATTATATTTAACCTATAATTTCCTCTCTCAACCTTTCATCATGTACTCAACAATCTAACCGTGAATGTGAGGTGTGGTGTCATTATTTCTGTATAGGCATAGTTGTAGCTGTCCCAGTGATTCCTGCATCATCAGCCTTCCATAACTGTGTTACAGTCTTGACCTGCGTATAAAACTGAATTCCCTGAAAATAGAAGATCAAACTGAGGTGCATATTGATTACTATTAAAAAAATACGAAGATAACCTTCCACTTGCCATCCATGATCGGAGAAATTGTAATGTATCATCGGGATCATTTCAGATTCTGTCTATAACTTAACCTCCAAGTAAAAACGTATAGAATCCTTTTGAGCTTCTTGAACAAGTTTAACACCTCTCTGTTTATTATCTTGTTTGGATTATCCTGCTACAATATTTGTAAGAGAAATTGCTGTAATTTTGGGATTATTATGTATTATTTGATGACATGATCCTTTCCTCCGACTAACCTAGCAACTTCTACAAACATTAACATTTTTATACAGTGTTACCTCCCTTTCTTATACATTCACTATCATGTCAGAGTTCAAGGAGGGAAGATGTGGGCGTATAATAACCACTGGAATTGACTATATAGGCTATAGCATGAACTAAAACAATATTACATTGGATATTCACTTCTGAATAACTTTTAAATAAATGTCATTGGGTGACAATTTCAAACCATGTTTTAAAGTAGAATCTTGTCAGATCATGAATAAGTGTAATGATAGATTTTAATCAAACTATGTTGTCACAAATGACATCTGATTTCGAAAAACATTAATTTCCTGAAAACTGGACCTACCTGTTTGCCATAGAAGTTGGTGTCACCTCTAAATGATCCTCGTGAACCAGTGAATGAAAACATGGGCAGGGGAACAGGGATTGGTACGTTTACTCCAACCTATAATATAGATAAATCATATCAAAATGATTATTCATGTGTCAAATTTATGATTATGATACCAAATGAATACACAAGGTAGCTTAGGATAAAGTTAAGATACAGTGGAGCCGTGTTTATCTGGTTGGCGATAATCCGAAACCCCGATGTACAGGATTCAAAATACTTACCGGTATTACTCCAAAGCAAAATATTTCCTTCCTTCCATTGACCATATAAATTCAAAATAAGCAGGTGAAACTTGAATATGGGATATGTTAGTGTCAAAAGTTTAGGAACAATTCCTGTGTTGATGCTAAAATCAAATTTCAATATAACCTACCTGTCCTACGTCACTTTCCATGGTGTATTTTCTGGCGGTGGCTCCGTTTGTTGTAAATATAGCAGTACCGTTACCATAGGGATTAGAATTAACGATAGAAATAGCTTCATCTAGTGTATCAACTTCTAAACTGACTAAAACTGGGCCGAATATTTCTTCTTTATAACATGTCATGTCCGGCTGAAATCAGAACAAAAACTTTTGATATTTTCAAAAATCAGAGAATGAAATGGACAAAATTTTCTTACAATAAAGAAGAGAAATTATTTAAAATAATAAAACCTAGGTTGAGAACAATTCTAATTTTCCAAATAGAATTTTCTATACCAAATTTTTGCCACAAAAAACCCAAATTTTCCATTTAAACTGCATACTGTTATGCATAATTCAAAGGCCAAAGACTCCAAGACTGAAACTACCTTGACTTTGTTCAAAATTGTTGGACCAACAAAATTTCCCTTCTCATAACCTTTGACCTTGATGTCTCTACCGTCTAATAATAGCTCTGCCCCCTCTTCTACTCCAGACTGGACCAAGTTACAGGCTCGTTCTTTAGCTTTGGGCGAGATCAATGGTCCAAGGTCGGCATTGGGTTCATGACCTGTCAAATATTTGAACAAAATATGAAAATTTGACAAATAAAACTAAAATATAAAGATTTAACACAAGTTTTTTATGAACAAGACTGAAAAATAACGAGAAATTCTAACAATCATAAAGATTAAACAATCACACGTCAAGTTTATATGAACACAGTGATACAGTGGCTTTTTACAGCACTAAAAATAATAGTCTATGGGTAAAATACAACAGTTTTCAGACATGAGAGTGTACTCATAAGAAATTGGATGTTCTCTATAGATTTTTAACAAAGGATTGAATGGCATTGGATTAAGTTGAGTATTAATCAGATATTCAAGTTAAATATGATCTAACAAAATTACCAGCATTAACTTTCAGTTTTTTCGCTCTTTCAACTAATTCAGGAATCCATTTTCTAGCCTCCCCTACAAAGACAGCAGTTGACAGAGCCATACATCTCTGACCAGCAGCCCCGAATGCTGCCCCTACTAACTGTGTTAATGTACTCTCTTTATTAGCGTCTGGCATAATAACACCATGGTTTTTAGCTCCCTGAAAAATAAAATGAAGTTGATAATTTTGGGGGTCATCTTGTCGCTTCCTGGTGAAAAAAATATACATGTAGATAGATTTGAAAAAAGGGTTGAGGTCACAAAAAATAATCAAATATTTGATGGGTTTTGTTGCACACAAAGTTTCAACAATTTACATTGTCATTATCAGGAATTCACCGTAAAATAATCTTTTAGTGTAAAAATTAAACTTAAGTGCAGAAAACAATGGGGTAAAGACATAGATTAAATAGAATTCGATCGTGAACTTACCATATTTGATTGCACTCGTTTTCCACTTCTAGATCCACGTTCGTAAATATACTGACCCTAAAATAATAATTTAACAGTTACAATCGTTGATCTACTTGAACTCTTTTACCTACATATAAACTGTTTGTCAACAATACCACCCTCTGCCTGTACATACTTCCTACCCCAAAGCAAAATATTTCCTACCCCAAAGCAAAATACTTCCTACCCCAAAGCAAAATATTTCCTACCCCAAAGCAAAATACTTCGTACCTCAAAGCAAAATATTTCCTACCCCAAAGCATAAATTCTTATAATAAATTGTAATAATAAATTGTAAAGAATTAAAGTAAACTTACAGCTTGATCAGAACCAACAAATGAAATAGCCTTGATGTCTGGATTATCACAGATAAAATTTACAGCTGAAATGAAACACGGAAATGAAAATGAAATGAATGGAGTTTTACGTCCTACTCTTCTGCACCTTATTGCAGACAGGCAATGCCATGCAGTGTACGTTGAGAGAAATTCTGGCAGAACAGCAGCATTAACCTACTCTTTTTCAATTCAAACTGTCAAAGGAGAAAAATAAAACTTAAACAGGTAAAGTTGACAAAAAGTGACAGAGATGGTTATTGTGGTTTGGCAGCATGGTAGACCAGACAAATCATAGGAAATTATATTTTTTGATTTAGCACTTTATAAATTCAGACATCAAGATTTTAAGAACATAGAATTACAACTTGGTAACTTACAATCATGTGCTCCATGTATAACATTGACAACACCATCAGGAAATCCTGCTTCCTTGGCTAACTGAACTAACATCATGGTGGCTCCAGGATCACGTTCTGATGGTTTAATAATACTGGTATTACCACAAACTGTTGCCATTGGAAACATCTACAAAATAATGAAAATCATTATGGTATTTAAAAATGGAAAGTTCAAAAGTTCAGACATAAGAATTTAATTCAATCAAACATTATCAGTTTAATCTTTGTATCTAAATAGTGAGAAAATCACAGATATTCATACATACACATTTTTATTGTTGTGATAAAATAGCAATGATTGCAATAGGAAGTCATCAGAATACTAATTAAGTCATTAGTCTACAGAAATAAAATAAAAAATAAACATTTTTGTGAACTCTCCAAAAGGGTAACTAGGTTTGTTTTAAACGAAACACAAGGGGTTGCTCAAAAGAAAATTCAACTCACCCACAAGGGAATCATGGCTGGGAAATTAAAAGGGGTGATACCAGCGACGACACCTAGTGGTAAACGGAAGGTCATGGTGTCCATATCTTTAGCGATACCGTGTAATGTTTCACCCAGTTGTAATGATGGGATACTGCAACAATGTTCTACCACCTCTATAAATAGATAAAAAGAATATTCTAATCAAATAGAGCAATTTCTGTACATTAATCTGGCCAAGTTTAAGATGGGATGGTGGACTAGTTTAAGATGGGATGGTGGACTAGTTTAAGACAGGATGGTGGACTAGTTTAAGTATGGTACTTACGTAATCCTCTATAGACATCACCTTCTGCATCTACCAATGTTTTACCCTGTTCTAATGTAATATTAGCTGCTAATTTTTTCTACAATCAAACCAAAATTAAAGTTAAATATCATTTTGAGTTTTTTATGTTTAAGGGAAATTTTGTCATGAGAGCAGCATTAGTCTAAGGGTATTATTTTGATCTAATCCAAGGTTGAACTGTAAACTTGCTGTTTGCGAGAAAGCGTCTAACTCACTCTGCCACAACAGCCCCTCCTGAAAACATCAAAGTTCCTTACCATATTATCTTTGATGAGTTGTTGAAATTTGAACATGATTTGTTGTCGTGTTAAAATTGTCGTCTGAGACCAAGATTTAAACGCTTCTCTCGATGATGCTACAGCAGCCTCCATTTCTTCTTTCGTACTTTCTGGTACTCTTGTTACAACTTCATTGGTTGCCTGTAGAGAGAGAAACATATAGCATTGCCAGGCATCTAATTGCACACATATTCTATTCCTTTCAATATCATATATTTCTATTCAGTGGTTGTTTTTGGTTGAAATGATATTCAGCCTTGATAGGATATATATTTGTCCTAATTTAGATACCTAAGGGGAGCCTCAAAGACTTAATTTGTCCTTAGATTTTGTCCTTAGTCTGGTATTTCTCATTTTTGAATTCTAAATTATCAAAGAATGTGTTTTTGAGAAATAAAGGCCAAATTTGGCCACTATCAAAGTCCAACCTAACTTACAGGATTATGGAGATCGATCCATTTCGTTGTTTTAGATTCTACAAACTCTCCATTTATAAAATTCTTGGTGGTTGGCTGACAAAAAAACAGATAGATAAAATATCATAAATAAAAGGCATCATATAAATAGACAGCTAATAAAACATCTCTAGTTTTAATAACTCGCTGTACGGCACAGAATCAAATTCATAGAAAGTATGCATACCAGTATATATGAAAGTTCAAGGGTGGTGTCTAATACATGACAGGCACAATATATCTAGACTGTGAAAGAGTCAAATCCTACACCTCTACTTTGGGGAGCAAGTACCAGATCTTCTGAGTCCAGTCGAAGTCTATTGCTAATTGATCATTAATAACTGGACACAATTTATATGGATAACAATTACTTTAATAAATAACTTGCGACGTTTCGACGATGATGTTTTCGTTTTCAAACCCAACTTAAAAATAATACTTACAATGGAAGCATAGCATCTTCTAAAACTATGCCCAGATAAAATCTAAAATACAAAATATCCAATCAAGAAAATTCAAAATCAAGTATGATCAAGACAAAGGGAAATGTCCTACTTTCTATGACTTTATTGCAATCAGTCAATATTCTCTTACCACTGGGTTTCCCTATCTCAAAAACCAATTTACTTGAATGTCATTTGTGATGGATGTAAGAACGTGGAGAAGTGGCTTATAGAACATCTAATTAATGAATCCCTTCCAATGTTTTACTGATCTTTTGGTGCCATTTTTAGATTCCCATACGAAACAGACTGTCTGTAGTCAGTCTGTAGTCGAAGCCCTGTAGCCTTAGCAGTGTATGTGGCACTCGAGCAACTATACAGTTTAATGTAAAAACGATTAAATTTTAATAGCATGATGTAGGTAGCCTGCCAGTTACCACAGTTACTTCAACCTGCCACCCTGCGCAAGGAGCCTGACATTACTGCAAATGTGTTACAAAGCTGAGTGGCATTCATTCTCAACTAAACTTGTTTTAAATTTGCTGTGACAGATTACAACAATCAGCTAAACCAAGTCTTGGAAGTTGGTTGGAATTCTGACATTGATGATGTAACTGGTTGTTTTCTCTTTAAGTTTTAATGACAGTTTACCTGCTTGGCTAAAACCAGCCTCAAAGCCGACATTTTAACTCTGTAACTTTTCAACTTGGTGACTTGATGGACGTGATGAACACAGAACAAGTTGAATCCAGTTCAGATTCTCTTCTGTTGAAACCCAATTTCTGCTGCAAAGTAGGTCTGACCTTGACCTCGCACTGCCAGATGTCACACAACTAGGTCAATCCACTGACACGTTTTTATTGGTCAAAATTTGACACCCCATTATCAAAATATTGAAATTTCGTCCAAAAATTAAATTTGTATTAAATGATATCTCAAAACAAGTATTTGGTTTCCAAATTCTATTTGAAAAGAAAATAATCTCAAAAACGCTTTTGGTTTAGAGGATACCAAAATGGCGAACCAAAGTGCGGGTAATTCGCATTTCGATAACCGAGGTATTTTTAAAATAACTTTTGTGTCGCGTATCTGAGAAAATTTAAAACTCTGAATTCCTATATTTCCCATCAAATGCTACTGAAGGAAGAAATTTCGAATCGATTGAGATTCTTGAAGTGGAGAAAATGGAGGTCAAAGATGTCGATTTTGGTATCTGTTTTTTTGTTTTGGTGACGAAAAACAAGGTCAAGCGAGTTCAGTCCCTTTGAAGTGGGTGTGGCACTTTTGGAGAATTTTTTTAAAAGTATTTTAACTGGCCTATTTTCTTTTGTTGTAGATGATGAGTTGATGAGTTTAGAAAAATTAGATCGTGCATCACCTGACTTATGGCCTGAAAGAAGTAAGAATAATTTGCATAAAACACTCAGAACAGATTCACTTCTGTACTGTCTAATCACATTCACAATGTTTGCATGTAAAAAAAAGCCTACTGTTATTGACAATATGCAACAACTTGAAAAAATTTAATAGCATATGTGTAAGTTATTTATGGATCCAATTGTAAATATATTATCCAATGGTTGGTTGGTTGGTTGGTGGTAAGTTAAAGCCTGCTTACAGTTAATTGATATTGCCGGCTTGGATTACATCTAAACTTTAATTCTTGAATTGTATATTTTCAGTTCCTGGTGTCAATGATTTTGCCACTGTAAAAAGTGTAAGTAAATTTTCAAATAGTTTTCTAAAATAATTGTTCTTTAATCTAAATTTATAGTCTGACTAATTAGATACTCAATCAGACATGACTGGCAAATATAGATGATTAAACTGTTAGATATCTGAATGGATTCTGATGAATGTGTCAGTTGTTTATTTGGTAGGTTTTCTAGAATTGGCCATGTAACTGGTTATTATTGTTTTATTGCAGCCTTCCCTGACAACAGAAGAAGCCCCACCAAAATGGCTGGCTGATTTAGAAAATGATGATATTGAGCTGTTACAAGGTAAATAAAAATTGTTTTCTCCAATCTTGAGAAGCTATCATTATCTAGTTGCTAATCAGGGTCCTTGTGAACCTAGGTTGTTATGGTTAGAAAATATGGCTGTTTCTCTATATATTTAATACAAAATATTTTTTTTTCTATAACAGAATTTGGAAGTCTAACGATGTCCCAGCTTATGGAGAAAGTGAAAGGTTTACAGAATTTAGCCTATCAACTTGGTCTAGATGAAGGTTTGATGTTTTTTTTAATTTATTTCTTTTCTATAAAATTTACTTGTTGCGATCATTCAGTCTTTGAATCTGAACAGAATTGAGACATTAAAACTGTACACAAAAGACTTGATTCATTTATAGTGCTTTGAGCACACACCATTTTAGCTTGTTATACAACAATTTTTATTATTATATTCTGAACCCCAAACAATCTTTAAAAAAATATTTGTGTAGGGGATATTCTAAACCAGGCCTGTTCTAAACTATCAGTTCACAGTGTTCCATTTGGGTTATTAAAAAAGAACCTTTTGATCTGTCCCTTTTTTCCGTAGACTCCCTAAATCATGTAACTAATAATTTTGATGTAATTTCAGCTCGTGAAATGACCAGAGGGAAATTCCTGAATATTCTGGAGAAACCAAAACAAAGATAATTTTCTTTAAAAAATTATAATTCTTCATGCATCAGTTTGAAGTCAAAACAGTAACTATCTTAAAAAGAATTTTATTTCCTTAGTGATCTCCAGTTGTGTATATTTATTAATCATATGTTTTGAATGCAATTCTCAAGTAACTGAGTTGTGAGTTGGGTTTGGAACTCATGGCCACTTTCATTATTCATCAACTGGTAATCACTATAGTGTAAGGGCACCCTAGAATCATATTTCTTTAAATGTACAATCATCCTCTTGGCTTGTGGTTTGCATCATATTTTGCTCTCAGATTTTATTGTAAGTATAAATGATAAATCGCTGAAAATCTTATTAACAATAGATTATTATGGTGCTTTTGTAGAGTATAATATTTGTCTTAGCAGCTAATGTAAATATTTTAATGCGTGTGCTTTAAAATGGCAGCAGATTTTCTGTTTGTTTTACTGTCTCTGTTGTTTTCTGTAATATAGATTCACATTATGATACAAGGACTGTAGGAGGTTTTCTGTATCAGGGACATCGATTTGCACCATTCTAATATTCAATCAGACTTCAATCACTCTAGAACTAAGTGTCTATGGTAAAAACTGCTAATAATATAATAAGAACCTTTGCTATAGTGACGTCATGGAACGCTTACGTTTTGAGGAATTACAAGAACCAGATAATTGGAATGGTGCAAATAGATGAACACTAACACTATACTCAATGATACAGGAAAAAAACATCTGTATTAGGTGAAATTTAGGGCAATGGTTTTTAAGATTTATCCAAGACTTTCAAGCAAATTTGCGTTTGGATCCTGTTTCACAAAATCTTAAGCTTAAAATTTACATGTTCAGCACTTGTTCATTGACGATTGATTTTGATTATGTAGATTTTTTGTATTGTTGATTGTAAAATATTTGTGAATTTGTTTTCTTGTATTATTGATGAATTAATTTGTAATAAAATATGTCAATTTTTTGTTATTGTTGATATTTGATGGGTTTTGACTATAAGGAGCAATATGCCACTCTTTAACTGTCGAGTACTCTTGAACATTGATAGCATGTTTCATACAAGAACTTGGGTAAGTTGTTTTATATAAACAACTGAACACTTTTCAACTAGCTCTTCTGACCTGCATCACTGAAAACCTGAGGTTGCCCGAATTTCTAACGTAGTTATGAGATTTTTGCCCGGAAAAAAGTCTTTAGGGCTCCGAGAGGGGCTGGGAAGTTAATGGGTTAGTGTCTAACTCAATGCCAGTCCCCAACTCTAAATTATATTGAGAGGATTATAAAATACTAGTTAATTGTATAAAATAAAATGTTTATTTAAAACAGATATTGATATCTAATAATATTTACAAACTGTCAAAACATTCAAAATAGGTTTTCTAGCCTTTTTATATACTTGTAACTTTACTAGACATATACAGAATCTATTTACACCATTGTTATATATTGTTTTATAACTGTGGTTCCTTCAATCCTAAATTCTGACATCCCTATTACAATTATCGTTCAAGTTACCTCGCTTATTGCAATTTTGAGATCATTATCTGGTTTTCTTCAATTAGTAAGAGGACAGACAGAAAACCAGAATGGTGCAAATATTAGATAACTGTTCCTGAATAATAAAGTTAAAACATCTCTTTTGAATCTTTTGAAAACTCATTTTTTCATCATTTTTAACTCGCAGAAAATTGTACAAAACTAGTAGCAACAAATTTCAAAAATGATAGAAATACCAGATTTTGAATTCAGTTTTCAGTAAATACATGCAAGATGAAAACATGAATTTGAACATCCTACTGATCTGCTCCTTGAGGCTGTGAAATATATAAAATAACACTGGATCTAATTTTAATATAATCTAACAAGGCTACGTGTGTAAAAACTTGGATGGATTTGATTGGTCAATATGAATGACGGCAGTGTCTGACCAAATAGATTGTCAACAATATCTAGAAAAAAAGTGCCATTTTGTTTTTTTTGTTTGTCAAGCGATGATATTGCAAATATGGGTACGAACACAAACACAAACACAAACAAGAGCAGTTCACTTTATTTTGTAGGTAGAATAAGAGGTAACTAGCTCTATAATAACCCAGACTTATATTATGTTGATAATTACTAATTCTACCTACAAAATAAAGTGGACTGCTTGAAGTTACGTTTGGATCAGGTCACGTATTCTCAACACGATTTTGAGATGTTCTAAAATCAATGTTAGAAGATAAGAATTTAGGACATCCTAACACTAAGATTGTTTCAAGAATACGTGGCCAGGTCTGTATTTGCATTAATATCTTGACAATATAAACTTATAAATTGAAAGACAAGCTACCCCTCGACATGCCTAAATATCGTGACAATCTACAATAATAAAAGTTTTATGAATATATCAACTAATACAATATATTGGTTACTATGGTTACTATACCTTACTATAAACTCCATGGCAACGGAGCTCGCAATTTTAATTCATGAAATTAAAAAAAATCTAATTAACAAATCTTACAACAAAACTTATTCCATGAATAAAATTTAGTCACCTTATTAATAAATTGCCAAAACATGCAAAAAGTGTAACTGAAATATCCTTCATTTCAGTAGTGAAATTTAAAAAAAAAAGCATGAAAAAATGTCACTTCAATCTCATCTGGGATATTGAACATTTTGTGTAAAATCTCGACTGACCAATAAGAAATAAAACATGTTGCGTGATTGAGTGTTAAATTTTTCACAATGGAACAAAACTGTTGAATTTGGAAGAATTTTCGATGACTTCAATATCGTAGAATAACTCTTTTCACAAAATAATAAGAAATAGAATTATCATTCCTTCATTTCTTTACAGGGAACTTGGTTATCTGTAATCTTAGGTAATGCCTATTTTATGTCAGTTATGATTAAATACAAACATTATTCTTAAAGATCACTATTCTTAAAGATCACTATTCTTAAAGTTCACTATTCTTAAAGATCACTATTCTTAAAGTTCACTATTCTTAAAGTTCACTATTCTTAAAGTTCACTATCACTATTCTTAAAGTTCACTATTCTTAAAGTTCACTATTCTTAAAGTTCACTATTCTTAAAGATCACTATTCTTAAAGTTCACTATTCTTAAAGATCACTATTCTTAAAGTTCACTATTCTTAAAGATCACTATTTGACAAAAATACAAATAAAATAGTTTTAAGGCAACAGAAGTTACATGAAATATGATCAAAATTATTTATTATTTCTGGCACGAAACGTAAACAAACAAATATATCAGATCTAAAAATCAGTAAAAAATAAAAATGAGATTTATTGCCAATAAAAATGGGAATGTTTTTATTAATTTGGTCCGTTTTTTAATGAAATTATGAAATTTGTTGAAATTCTCTCTTATTTTATGGTGATCATGAAATAATATAACAATTTTTATCAATAATAATGATTTCATGAAAAAAACAAAAACTCAAGGCAATATGTAAAATACTTAAAATTCAAAATATTAGATATACCATAGCAACAATGTCGTAAATTCAACATTATAAGCTAATTTGTTAGTTCGTTAGTACGAAGTCTTTGAATGGTATTTAGTAATTGTGAGTAAGATAATATATAGACAAAGCTTTAGAGAACAACAATCACTGGTTAGAATGAGGACGACGGGGAGAAACACGTTGAAACATTGAATAAAACTTTAACCAATGATTGTTGTTCTATAAAACTGTGTCTATATTATTTCATTAGGATGGTATTTGGTGACCTTCAAAATTAAATTATTCATCTACTATGAATGTTAACAGTATAAAAATTGTAATGCATAGACATATCAAAGGTGTCTTGGACGGCAAATTCTTTTAAATGCATAACTTGGTGGGTAATTTAATAACAAACTTAAGTCTAGAAATTTTATATGAGCATTATAGGTTTCTGGACAGATTGTTAGAAATAAGGCAAAAAAATATACATTATCCATTAAAAATATCCCTTTTACTCGGAAAAATAAATTTTAAAAACTCTGGTGAGACAAGGGTACATTTTCTGACCCATGAAAGAAAATCATATGCAAGTTTTTCATATTTTTGTAACTCTCAAACAATGTCAAGCCTGGTTCTTCAAAAATATAGCGGTAGATATTTGACAGTTTTCTGATTGGTTCATTCCTTAAATTTATTTAACATCTAGAATTATAAACCAATCAAATTACTGTATTTCTCAAAATCTGGATCATATCTTAGTTAATTTTTTTAACGAACTGGTCTAATCTTAAGTACGGTGTAATTATTCATTTTAAAATATTGACTTCAATGTGAAAATTGTAAACTGTAAATCAACGAACATAAAATAAAAATATAAAATTGATATATAGATAGATATATATACAGAGAAAAAAAACATGCAAAATCATCAATATACAAACTAGAATATTTATACAGTGATTAAAAAATATCATTTTGTTCATTTTAGCACATTGCTCTGAAAAACTGGAACTTCAGAGCACATATGAAAACGTGAATTTGTCTTAAATATCAAAAGTTATCAATTTGAATATACAGAAGAAGTAAATGTTAAAAATATTTTGTGAACTACAGGCTATATATGGAGTTTCAGTCAAAACCAAAAAAAACAACTCCACAATCCTTCTCAGGAATCAAGAATATTTCAAATGAAATGATATTTTAAATAATAATGTTTGAATTTTAAATATATTGAGGAAATAAATGTTTAAAATTGTTTGTGAAGAACTGGCTAATAATATATATAATAAGTGAAGGTTCTGTCTAAAGAAAAATTCATCCAATGTGCAATAAATCATTAGAAGACCAAACCTCGAAATATTACATTTTTGCTATTAGTAACATCTTATACAATCTTGTAAAAAATATGAAAAATGTTTAAAAATATTACAGTTTTATTTTTGTAATGGCAGTAAAAAAATTCTGTAATTATAATCACAATACTGTAATATGAGACAATGGGATTTCCATATAAATTTTTTAACCCTTAAATTTTCAATAATGTTTAACGAAATGATATGAGACTGTCACAGTTTTTCGCATTTTTTACATCTAATTAATCAATGAACTTATATTATTGACAAATCTGTATTTTTCATTTCCTGATTATTCACATCAAATATAACAACCCGAAGAAAAAACATGAAAATAAAAGTCCAAATGTGTATTTGAATCTGTTAGATAAAACATCAGAGGTTTACTTATAAAAAATGGCAGCAAACAATATGGAATCCCTATGTTAATTAATTATAATTATATTTCATTTTTCTCCTTATTTGGATGGAATGGATTTAGACAGAATCTGATAACGCTGCTCTTATATATAGGAATAACAAATTATTGTAATCTTCAGAGACAAAACTCAACTTGATAAAAATATAATAACATAATAATAGACAAAGCACTTTTTGAATCAATGAAAAAGGTTTAAAATACTAACGGCTATATAGCTGACAATTGGAAAAAACTTGAGTTTTACATTCTACTTTCACTAACTTAATGGCTTCATGCCTTCCAGTGTGCAACGAGGGAAAATGTGGCCAGGGTAGGGAACTAGCCTACTGAATATCTTTCTGGCATCAAAATTCAGACCATTCATTTCATAAAACTGTTTCTATGACAATTTTTATATCAGATTTAAAAAAATATGCAAATATTTCATTGAATATTACAGTGAATGTCATCAAAAATCATCAATTTCCAAAGATTTCTGTCCAAAATGTCCAATACACAGTCTCTACCCTATCTCTATATACATTCTTCTAAAATATTGTTATACTTCTAATATACGTAAAAATAGTTTTTATACAAAAATTTATAAAATATAAAACTATGTTATGAACACACTATATGTTGTCGTTTCTTTCATTTTATAACTCTACTCTGTCCTGTTTGTTTTTAAATTCTATAGATTAATCATATATCTTTGATACGATCTTCTGTAACGTTATTAATTACCAAAACTATTGACAATCGACCAGTTGTATGTTTCTTTTCTTTATCAGCTTCTTTGCTTTTTATTGAAGACATGACTTTCTCTCAAATGTTACAAACTAACACACAAACAGAGTTTAAAATACAAATCCAAAAATGCTAAAATAAATAGCTCACAAGTCCACCTTCCTTTATTAGTCACTTAGCCGAGTTCCATTAAAATTCAACCAAAAAACGTCAAGTGAATAGAAATACAAATATCCTGCTGTAATTTCTGTATTTTTATATATTTCCACCTATGATACAGAACTCAGCACTTTTTATTTTATCATAACGATCTAATAATGTCAACAGGAACCAGCTTGACAGCTGGATATGTTTTCCAGCTCCAAATGTTTATTTCCTAACTGGGGTATCTGACAAAGTTTTGGACTGTTATCAACATATAACCTCATATTGACGTAATATCTCCAAAAAAGTCAAGAACGCTACTAATGTGTTTTGGTACTGAGCTCCAGTCAAGTCAACAGGCCATATTGACCAGCTCCGAATATCTATTTACTAACTGGAGTATCTGATCTACCGTCTGTATCGAAGGAGTCAGTCTCTGACGTGGATAATGAACTGGAGGTACGGAAACTGTCTATATCGTCACGGAAATAACGATGATTCAGGGCTTCTCGTGCGCTAATTCTTCGATGAGGATTAAAACATAATAATTTCTGAAACAAACAAAAAAATTTAATAACTTTCATCTATTTATTAATGTAAATCGGGATCAAGGAATATCGTATAATTTAAAAAAAAAAAGCATTAATATCACAAAAAGGTAAGATAGCATTATTTGACATTTTTGTTCAATTTTAGGACAGTATCAATGCTCATGTTTTATGCTTTGTGTCTTACACAGTACCAAAACTTCTCTAAATATCATCAACCTCATCTCACCTCTAATAAATCCTTGCCAATAGGATCAATTTCTGGGACGTATTTCTCTAGAGGTTGTGGTGGACGTGATCGGAATGATTCCCGTGGTAACGAAACATTCTCTGGCCATTCTTCTTCTGACGGTAATCCTATTAATCTAAAAATAGAAGAAAAAAAATGAGCTCCAAATAAAATTGGTTTCAATCATAATCTTAGTTTGTCTTCATTCAATTCTGAAACTTTTCAACCCAGTTTATTACATAAATTCTCAAAACCATTGATTATTTTTCCAGCAAATAAACACGTTCCTTGAGAAGCCTAGGTTGTTATCCTCTTAATTTCAAGCTGCTGACACATGTTTAAGATACATAATCCTCATCAGGACAGCTAGTATTGGTAGGTCTCTTGGAGACTTTTCACATTTTGAATTATCTTGAGAATATCTGTTGTATTGTTTAAAGAATTTAAATCAGATAAAATAAATGTATTTTAATACTCACTCAAATATTTTACGAAGTTGTTCAACATCAGACTGCCCACATAATAACGGTCTAGAAATATAGAATATTATAATTAATTATAGATCCTAATATCATAGGAAACATCAAACCTTCTAGGAATTCTACATAGCTAAATTAATATAGTCTAATACAATATGCTTAGATATTAGATTGAATGAATATTACCAGTACGGTTTGTTAAAAAACAAAATATTAACTCTATATCTCAAAGCTAGTTTATATCTAGGTCTCTTTATTTTATATCTCCGCCAGTGCTTTACAAAGGAACTTCTTCACTCTTAATACAATACTGTTTTAAATGTATTAAGCAATAGAAAATGACGTTAGGCTGGTGGACAAGATTGTAATATAAAGGCTAATGACTCTTCTCCTTGACAAACATATCGCCATGGTTATTCTTCAACCAATAAGATTGAAGCTCGTAACATCAAGTCTAAATACATTATTAAATATAAACTCAGTGGTCTGGTGTTTCTAACAAGGCAGGGCATGCTCAGGTCTCTCTTACCTTCTGTTATAGAGTTCAGCTAGAATACATCCACAGCTCCACAAGTCTACAGGCGTGGCGTATTGTCCCTGTAATAAAACTTCTGGTGCTCTGTACCATAGTGTCACCACCTAAAATACATCTTAAATACAGGTAATTCTGATAACCAACAGAAATCCACTTATAACTGTTATATCCTTTCAATATTAGTGACCAAGCTACCAATGGGTAGACAACTGCTGAGGCTGAATTCAAATTTTGGCTACTCTATGGTGGTGTCATAATCGCAAGCCTCTCATAGAGTGTCTTAGAGGATTCTCTCTAGAAAATTTTAGAAAAATGAATTTATTTTGTGCATTCTGACACATATTTTGGAGACATTAAGATTTGTTGAAAATAAAGTGGGGTACAATTGGGGATGCAAACCATTTTTCTAGGGGACAAATGCCCACCCGGTACCCCCACTGACTTCAGGTTACTTACCACTGATGTTAACTGCATGTGAAAACTATAAATTCTGGCCAGACCGAAATCGGCAAGTTTCAGACGACCTTGACTCGTAATGAGAATATTTTGTGGTTTTAAGTCACGATGTACAATACGATGGGCGTGGAGAAAATCAACACCGTTTAATAACTGTAACATCAGATCCTGAAAATAGATGGATACAAATTCAGAGATGTGGACCCTCACAATAGCCTACTGTAGCCTGTAAAAAGCTGGCATGCCAATTCTGATGTTTCTGTTCAGTCAAGGGCAATAACTTATAAAGTATAAAACTTGAAGAAGTTAATTTGGAACACATTATGTGGATGAATGAATTTCTATAGATTATTTGTAACTTTCCTTCAGTGTATTACACAAGAACAATGACCTAAGAATGAATTACTCAGTCCGGTAATTAGCTTGATTAAAATCATCTCGTTAACTCTACTATCCATCTTCTAATTAACAAATCAAACTTCATCCTCGTTAACGAGATTCCTGTAACAGACTTTGACCTTGTCTTGGAATCAGTTTGTCTGCTGGATGAATTTTAGTTTGATTTCGGAAATAATAAATCTAAGGCCTGTCAACTGCAGGCTGTGAATACAAAAGAGATATCTTTGAAGTTTGAAAAAGATTAAGCTTTCACTGCTGTCTTAAAAAAATTCCCCTTATTCCACACTGCATGATGTTGCCTATCTTCATTAGCCCAAGGCATAGTAGATGGAATATTAAACTCAATTTCATTTCATTTCTTAAACAGGTAAGATGTTAAAGGAATTGTAAAGATAACGTCTCTAATTACAAAATATCCTTATGACTTAAGGCTCTTCACGATAAGTGATGCATCAAACACTCAAGTTTTAGTGGAATTCCAGAGCCACAGATATCTGATTGAAAATTGGAATGGTGCAAATGGATTCTGTCAGTGTGCCAGATATACATAAAAAATTGAGAAAACCTTCATAGATCTTTTTAATATCTGTGTTATCAAGGAGGACGAGGTATAAGGACATACTATTTCAAAATTATATGTGTGTATGAATATTTAACTTGATCTTTTATTCCTGATTATGTCTCTATGTCTTTCTTTTAAACAGCAAGATTTTTCTTATAAAGGTATATAATGTGACCAAAGTACTAAGGTTTTAATTCTACATTATTTTATTGACAATGTTATTATATATCTAACCTCACGTTAGTAGTCTCATTGACCTTTAACCTTTGACCCTAAGTCAATCACACCAAAATCAACAAAGAGTATCATATAACAGAGTAAATCTATGTTCAAATATTGTTAAGTTATATCACTATATCACTCTACTAGTAATAACCCAATCCTTTCATACCAATTCTCAATGTCATTTTATTAAATCTAAACCAATAGAAATTTGAAGAAGCCATTGTCCAGATCTGTGCCTCGTTAATTCACTTCTTCTATATTTATTCTATCGTGTACAGTCTATACCCAACGTAGAACATACCTGGCTAGGATCTGTTTACTCCAGACCACAGAACCCTAAAAAGCTTGAACATCTATAATCTGTTCCCAGTTTTAGCCACATAAACTTTTTAAAATCACTTTAAATCTGTTATGAGAAGATTAAAATTCCAGGAGATAAGAGAGAGTTATTATAATAAAATCTATTGATCTATTATCAATATGTGATATTGACTAAAGAATTAAATAGTTAGTCTGAATTATATTATAATCTTAATCTAATCTAACATTAAAAATACACGCTTCACTTTTTATATTGGATAATTCATTTTTTTAAAATTCTTTATTTAATATTGGTCGTCTTGAATCGCTGAGAAAATTGTGATTGACCTTCGTTAAGTTGAATATCCTCTCAGACAAAGCCGGAAAGTTTTAGCACAATCAGTAAGCCTGATACAAAATGGTTTTAAGAATGAGATATGTCTAAAATATTATTCAATCTCTAAAATAATTCCCCGTAAAATCCAAATAAATATGTTGAGCAAATGTACAAAAATTTCAAACATCAAACATGGCCAGTAAAAGATTGAATTTCCTTTATCAATTAAGTCATTACAATACACAAATATTTAATAAATATTGAACTATCCCTTATTACTCATAATAATTTCGCATATTGAATTCTTCAAAATAATTTAGTACACCCTTGATTAAATATATCACCTACATCATTCATCGTACAAAGTTTGAATATTGGATACCTCATATAATTTAGGTTACCCCCCATATGTTAATGACGTCACCAAACAATATCAAAAATTCAATAATTTGAAATAATATAGGGCATCTCTTGACATTTATAATGTATCTTAATAACGTCATTAAACACAAAAATTTTAAAAATTCAATAAATCTATGACGTTTTAAGAGATCAAATGATCAGGCAGACGGTCATAAATTCATAGTAAAGTTACGTCAATTATCAGCTATTTCTATTGATATCTATATAATAATTACGTAGTATATGATATCTGATATCTGGATATTGTAAATTATCAATCAAACTTAACCCACAAACAACCGGCAATGACCTCAATTATAACACTTGATATCTTTATAAAGGGTAAAATTTAATTTACTAAAAATTAAAAAAAAAAAAATTATCATAATATGATATCTCGACTTACTCCAAATTCCAAATTATTAATCAGAGTTAACCCAGAAACAACGTGCATTGACTTAAACTATAAACTTGATATCTTTATTCTAGTTCACTTATTTTACTAAAAAAACTTCAAATTATATCACTAGCTATTGGGTATTATGTTTGTCAACTTGACATCCCTTTTAGAGAGTCTTCCTATAGCTTAGAATGATTTTACAGTTTGTCAACATAGCTAACAAAGTTCATTTGGTATTTAGGTTTTTCAACTTGATATCCATTTCAGAGAGTCCAAATGGCTAATAAAGTTTATTTGGAATAAGATTTTCAACTTGATATCCATTTCAGAGAGTCCACATAGCTAATAATGTAAATTTGGTGTAAGATTTTTCAACTTGACATCCCTTTTTCCAGAGATTCCACATAGCTTCTAATGTAAATCATCAAAGTGCACAATTTCATCGGAAATGTGCAGATAAACCAAGCTCTACTTTGTTTGGTTTTCAGGTTTATAAATTGGAAGCCACTTTCATAGATTCCACATTTCAATAATATTAATATTTCCATGGAATAGGTTGTCAAGGTGACAATCAAATTTACAAATAAAAATTCCTCACAACATTGCCTCTTTAAAAATTATTCAGTCATACAAAATTCAATCACCACTTTTTAAAAGATTAAAAATATTGAAGAGCAAGCTTGAGTGTCATATTACCAATTTAAAATATTTTAAAGACAAGATGAAAGGATTGTGGGGTATTAAATATCAGAGATCAATACTGATTGAATCAGATCAATTCTAGTGAAAGGTTTTCAATAAAACATCAAATAACTTCAAACTGTTCTACTAAAAATATACACTTGTACGTCACCTGTACTACTGAAAAAATATATTAAAATAAAATTTCATGTCCTAGTTTTCTGCCCTGGTTTGGGCTCTTGATTATAGCTAATGTCCTGAGTGTGCATGTATTTTATGCTCTAATTTTCTGAGAAGAGTTAAGAAGCCAATGAAGACAGCCAGCAATTGAGGTGAAATTTGTAACGACAAGCATACACCTTGAAACACCAAATTTGGGCCAATCTCAGGCCCGATCAATTTTACAGATTGAACCTGGAACTTAACACTGAATTCAACAATTCTATTTTTTTGGTGAAAGATAAATTAAGGAAATGAAATTAATTCCCTAATCTTAGAACTTAAAACGTTTTTCCCTGTTATTTATCAAAATCAATCCAGTAAAATCTGAGTATTCATTCATTCATTCATTGATTAACTCACTCATTCATTTGCTCAGTTGTTCAAACCTTGATTCATTCATTCATTCAATTGCGCAATCATTCATTCATTCATGCAATCATTCATTCATTCATGCAAACATTCATTCATTCATTTATTTATTCACATACACACACCCCTAACCATTCAAAGGTTTACTGCAATATCATTACAGTATTATATTCATTCATTCAGAATTCATACCTCAATAAAATAACTCCCACTCAGTTTAAATTTAAGTTTTTAATTTTAATATATTTGACCTAGATTATATTTTACTCATTCATAAATCAACTAGTAAAATCTTTATAGTATAAAATACTCGTTCATATAACATCTTTTATAAACCATGTCGTATTTCTGAATCAAATATTACTTATTACTTTAGAGATAGACCGAAACATCTGTTTCTATTCCAGCCTCTGATAACTATTTGGAAATGAAATGAAATGAATGAGTTTTACATCCTACTTTTCTGCACCATGTGGGCTAATTAAGATGGGCAACGCCATGCAGTGTGCAATGAGGGAAATTTTACCACAAGGGCCGCATTAGCCTGCTCTTTTTCAATTCCCAACTGTCGAGGGATCTTTAAATGTGCACAGCCTGTAGCACACGGAACCTTGGTTTATTGTCCAATCCAAACAACTAGATGTTTTTTCCATGTCAGCCACTCTGACCTGCAACACTGACAGGGGGAAACCAGGATTAAAAAAAAAAGAGTCACCTACCCTGATTCTATCTGGTCCCAGCCCTGGGGACGAACATCTCTCGAGATAAGTAGCGAGATCCTGGTCGATATATTCAAACACTAACAATAATCGTATTTCTGTTTCTGTTAACTGATTGTGTAGAACATCCAGTAACCTGAAAACAGTCAAATATATAAACGTTACTCGTGTTGTATGGCAGTATGGTTTGTGGACGGAAACCTTAAACCATATTTCTGTCAAAAATTCTGTCAAATTTTAGCTGTGTGATTGTGTTAACCTGAAAAAAAAAATAGATAAAAAGAAATAGACACCACTCACTAGATGAAGATTTAGGAAAGAGGCCATTGAAGTTTTAAACTAAAGCTTAAAGAGATTGTAATGAGGTTTTTTAATATATTTTTGTGTCTGGGACACTCTTGGCATCATTTTGCACCATTCCATATTTCAGTCAAGATGTTTTGGGATCTTGTACTTAAAAGACAGGATTACTTTCTTATTGTTTCACTCTCCACAACCTGTAGAAAGTTGAAATATTCCAGTAATGTTCACAAAGAAAAACTATGAAATTAAAGTCATTCTTTAGAGAAAGGAAGAATAAATGCTTGACCTTTTGAAGTGGTCTAATTTGTTACAACAGAACAACGTTACGTTGACATTTTATGGTGGAAATATTTCAATTATGTAAATAGATTATTTTAACTTCTAGAGGGTTCACACAAGTTCAGTGTTTATTACATTACTACAAGGACAAGTTGTTATTTTAAAGATTTTGTATTTTCACCTTTGGCGAAAAGGGGCATGGATGAACCCCACCATGGGGGACAAAAATCCAATACAATTAAAAATCAGCTTAAACAATTTTGTTTCATTCATTTTCTTGTTTTGTGTGCTTTAGATTATTTTTTAGTTTTTTTAGTTTAAGGGTTAATTGACTTGAGTACACTGTTTTTACTTTTTCTTTACCCTTCAAGCCTCACCCAAGCTCAATCGGTTTTTTTTTGCCCCCCAATCTCCATTGTCCTACTCTGATATCATAAATCATTCAATAATCAAAAATATTTAACCTTTAACCTTTTATATTGCTCTACATTTCTACAGACCTCAATAGAAATATACAGTAGTAACAATAATTACATTCTTATAACTTATAGTTTGATCTGTTTTAAAGAGATTTAGTCAGGGCCCTAGCCTAGCCCCCTTTCTTCAATATACTCTTACTCTTGATCAAGACATTGGGTATCAACCATCTTACCATAGACCCTATTGGAAGGCGGAATTGCTTTTTATTTAATGTTCTTCATTGCTATTTCTTGATTCTTAATTCTAAATTCTTATCTCTTAATTTGCACGCTTAATTCAACATCCCTCCTTCCTTAAGACCCAACAGTCAAGAAAATTGGAATGATGCAAATCAGTGCTATCAGTGTCCCCAATACACATGAAGAGTTTCGAAAACCTCTTTGCAATTCCTTTAACATTAAAAATCAAAATAGTTGAGTTCTTACCTAACAATGTTGGGATGTTCAAATTTTTCTAGTTGTTTTAATAACGAAGTTTCTCTAATCGCACTCATCGGCATTCCTTCCTCCGTGTTCTGAATTCGAATTTTTTTAATTGCCACAAATTTTCCGTCATTTTTGAGGTCACGACCTTTATACACAGTTCCATACGCCCCGTTTCCAATCACACCTACTTCCTCGTAGTTAGATTTTTCATGGCTGTCTCGTCTTCGATGTGTTTTGGTTGTCGATGACGATGATTCACCATGGCTACTACCATTACCATGGTATTTAGTAGACGACGTCTTCATGACGCCTGTTTCTGTTTATTATCACGTACAAATCATTGAGGCTGTTCACTTGAAATCTGAAAAGTAATGGTCATTACAATTAACAGGAATTTAATGTACAATGTGGAATTTGTACCAGAGATGCCGGACTACTAGTTGTAAATGTTTTAAGCCTGACCTTCACAGCATAACACAAAACATTTTTACTTCATGATGAACTTTACAGCTGAATTTTGATAGGAATTGTATAAGAGAATGAAGCTGTCGTAAGTTCCAATAGCAGTTAAAATGGTTGCAATTGTAGCAGCAGATCTGATAGAACTGGAGACAAGTTTGCTGCAAAAGAAGGATTTTCAGTGTGCTGGACTATTTCTGCATCGTTTACAGAGAGTCCACATAACTAATATCATTTTTTCTCTCAAATCTTCAGTTTCTCTTTCAATTATATCATGAATATCTGTGATGTACAAAAAAAGAATATTCAGAATAAATGAATGAAAGACATGTTGGCATGAGAAAATAGGGTCTTCCTTTCAGAAAATAATAACTGGGTTATTGAAGAGAGGTATATCATTATAAAGGTAAAATATTTGGAGAATGTTGGAGTAAAACTTACAGATGACAATAAAACAAAGATAAAGTATTTATAACTTTAAGTCAAGTGAAATTTATGACTTTTCACAACATTTCTTTAAAGTTATAGTCAAGAGAGATATTTTGCAATTCTGACAACAAATCTAAACAGAGAGTTATCTATATTATTGCAATGAACCGTAGCTGAAGTAGGGATTAAAGTCTTTACATGAAAGACTGGCTTGCAAGGCCATAACGCAATCCACGTTAAAATGATGCCTGTTAAAATGATGAAAAGGCAAATCTGGAGGATTTAACAAAACAATTAATAAAATTCTTAAATAAAAGTTATTTAAAATGTAAGGGATTTGTCTAATTTGTCTCCATAAGGTTACATCCCTGGCTTGTAAGTATTCTACCTCAAGATAAAGCTGGCTGTAAGTGCTTCCTGCAGTGAATAAATATATTTGTTAGAGATAACTTTTAAAATTTCTTAAAGTAATGCCTTACAAGTTTACAGTACTATATTAGTTGTATAATGACTTTGTATTGATAAGAATACAAAGTTGTATTGTACATTTAATATAAACATACTTCCCTCTTAGTAATTTCTCCCAAAAATATTCAATTGACATAAAAAATATTGGGTCAGTTCAATTCATTGACTTAAACATATAGCTTAATAACAATAGTATAAAGAACTATAATATAACAATGTATAACAATGTATCTATATACCATAGGTTATTATTCTTATTGACAAGACTATTCCCTGATCATTATTATTGTATTATTATAGATAGTCTAGTTTTTCTTTTATTATATTCATTCTACTTTATTCTTCAACCAAACTTTTAATTCAATCTCAATTCAAACTGAGCTCTATCAGCTGGTACAGTAAATATTTAAATGACTGAATCCATAAAAATATTTAAAACCAACCTTTGTCCATTTAACTTGTATTTATTCCAATTTAAATCCACTATTTCATCTGTCTAACAAATATTCCGATATCAATGCCTGTTGTCTTAAAAAATATACGTCAATTTTTTTTTAAAGGTCGACCACAGTTTGTTTTATAACAAAATTTATTCCACAACCAGAGCCTTTAGAGAGGTGGTCCATAAACTTTTTCAAAGAGACCTTAATCACCTTAGTGCTAAATTTGACAACTGAATTCTTGCCCTTTAATGTGTCCTTTAAATCCGTTGACCACACTCAACCCTCGTAGGTCCGATATCAAACGTAGGTCCGATATCATACATCTAAATGATAAACAACTTTGATTTAGTTAGCTCTATTGTAGTTACACTAGCCAAATATTCAGATCTTAATGCGTCCACTCTAGTCCTTTAAAACAATTTAAATATCAAATGTCTCAATGATATTTAAATATATATATATATATACATCAAGTTATTGGAATATTGGTTATGACTGTACTAAACTACGCCTACTGTGAATCATGGTCAGATTACTAGCAGGAATGGGATGACCTCATAAATACATTATTCTAATAATTCTTAATTCACCCTTAATCCTAATCCCTTCCTAATCCACTAACATTGGGAACGTACCTCGAGTAGCACTACTAATACCACACCACGACTAAACAGCATGGTAGTTGACTGGTTGCTCCGCAGGGTAATTTTTATTTACTATACTGTATATCGGCAACCACTGACCTTTGCTTTACATCAACCGGCGTCATACATAAAATTCCGATTTGGATTTTCATCACATAATTGCGATTTGTAAGAATTATTAGGTATTTGCGATTCCTAATGGGTATAAATCTATTCGCTAAATTAAATCGAAACAGAAGATCCAAATATAACGAAAATACAGAAATTAAAATTCCTTTAGTGACGCCGGTTTTTGTAAAACCAGTGAGTGAATTTGTGTCTTTGTGATTATCAATGAGTAAATTTGCTACTCGTGCAATTTCCCGCCGTTACTCCGGAATGGAGGTCAAAAATCCACAACTGAAACCTCGATTACATCCATTCATTCATTATTAATTAATTAAACCCTTAATTAGCTAATTAGTATAATCAAAGTCAACTTACTGTGTTTATTGGAGATGGAATTCGACTTTATTTTGTCCACGTTTGGTTCGACCACTTGTTGTTTAATCTCCACGACTGTCAGATCATGTGACCTACATTCTCTCACATTTCATTGGTTTAAAGATAAAAACTCCGCCAAACTTAATCACAATATTTCCCACTTTAAATCTGACTTTTAAACAATTTACTTCCATTCATCTTTCAAATATTTTGTTAAAAATGAAACATTCCGTAAAGGGATATTTCCCCCTATTTTTCCCGATTTTCACAAAAAGACCGATTAAGATACGATACGTCTCATTGAATGGAATAATAATGATAATACTGGACCTCCTAAAGCAAATTGTAGGTTTCATATTTTGGGGTCATTATACCCGATCACCGTGTATAGGCCTATCAGACAGAAACATCTGCCTCTATTCCAGATGGCTATTCTGACGGATATTGTTCCAGTTGACAGTTTTCAAATTATCCAAAAGAGGCTGGAATAGAGTGAGGTGTTTCGGTCTACGTGTGTATATAATAATCAAATATTAAACTTCTAAGTATTTATAAGGTTACTGGACAAATAGTTTTAAAATGACTTTGCATTGAGTTCGTTAAGAACTTGCACGGCCATTGATACTTTATCCCTAGCCAGTGGCTAAAAAATAAAAATAAATAAATGACTTGTGGAGTCACAATTTTGCCCCGAGACCCCGGGCTAGCTAAGGGCCTGCTTTAACTTACATGTAACTGTCTAACTAAGTTTATTCATTTATAACCGGGTATATATCGTTGTCCAAATATCTGATTTACTAATTGTAACCGTACAACTTTTCAGAATTACTGGCCAAGTTCAAAAAGCCTCGGAAATCGAGAGAGATGGTAAGTTTATGCCACTATGTTGGCAAAATGTCCATTGTTTTATTAGCCAATCAGGCACACAAAATTGTGAAGTAGGGTTTAAATTCACATGATAAAACAATGTGAAAATGTGACCTATTTAACGGATTTTCTCACGTGCAAACTTATCCCAATTCCCGCTGAAAGTCTCATAACGACAACCGACATTTTTAACGACATTAAATTTTTATTTTCGGTAGATTTCTATCCAATTAACCAGACTGAACTTTCTGTGGTCATTTTAATTCCATTTAAGACTGGATAGTCATAGCTACACCGGAAGTTTATACTCCTTGTTGAAAATTGTTTAGTTTCGTCTGCAAATTCTCCGATAACGGTGAATTATGGTGAGTTATGTTTAAATTCTGGAGAATCGTGAATTAACGAAGCAATCCTCCATTTCTGCGACGTATCCAGAAAATATTTTTGTGAGTTGACAGTCAACAGATCTGGGCAAACAAGCAAGGTTTGTTAAGGATAAGAAGATCGAAAAGTGTCATAAATTTCAATATTGAACTAGTGATGACATTCAAGTTTTGGTTTATGATAATTTATTGTTATTGCTAAGGTAACATCTTTGTAAATAAATTGATTTATTTCTATTTTTACAGGCGACAAAAGAAAAGATCATGTCTGCTGCAAAACAATTCATTAACTACATTAACAAGACGCCTTCCCCATTTCATGGTAAGTGATAGATAGCTCCACAGGCTCTGACTACTGACAGATAATTTTGACAAATTGTCCTCTTGGAGAGGGTCAGAGAAAAATGTTACTATGCAAAAGGAAAAACAAAATTGAAAGGATGTATCCATGGGTATTGGTAGAGTTGTCAAACCAAGGTCTTGTTGGATATATCACTTGCAATCGTATGCTAGAGGATTGCTCCAACCTAGTTAGCCTTTACGGCTATAGCAAAGATCAGTTGAAGAAATTTGAATTCCCAGGGAATGTCTCTCTTAGGTCTATTTGAGTTGTGGTAATTGTAAACAATTAAAGAAAGAAAATCTATTCTTAGCCACGCAAACAATAACATGGTGTTGAAATGTTAGTAAGGTATATTGATAAAGATATAGTATAGCCAACATTAGTGTAATTTTATGCTGTATATTTTCAGCTGTAGATGAACTTAAGCAGAAGTTATTAAAGGCTGGTTTTAAAGAATTACGGGAAACAGAACACTGGGATATTAAACCATTGAATAAGGTCAGATACATAGTTTATTATTGCTTTTCATCAAAGTTATCTTTCCTCATTATTCAAGGTACTGGTAGTCAAGACTTTGTTTTCTCTGTAAAGTATGGTTGATTCTTTCTTTTTTTGTAATTTTTTATTATCTAATTTTTAATGCTTATTTCAGTATTTTGTAACGAGAAACCAGTCAAGTATAATAGCCTTCGCTGTCGGTGGTCGATATCTCCCTGGTAACGGTTTCTCTATAGTCGGAGCTCATACTGATAGTCCATGTCTAAAGGTAGATAACTCTTGTGTAATAGATTATCATGATAAACTTATGTCATTTCAAATTTATTTCTAATTGTCAACTATATATTCAGTTTATAAGCTGGACGTAAAATAAATAATTAGACAGCTACATACCTTTATATTCTATCAGATGATAAAACAAAGTTTTAGACTACGAACTATGAACTATGTGGATTCTCTGAAAGAGATGTAACATAAACAAACAATAAATATAGTAAACGATAGTAGCTTTATAGACTCTTAACAAAACTATATATGAAATAAATAAACAATATTAGCTATGTGGACTCTCTAATTTAGATGACTATAACCCTTTCCAGGTTAAACCTATATCTGGTAAAGTAAGCTGTGGATATTGTCAGGTGGGAGTAGAGTGTTATGGAGGTGGGATATGGGGAACCTGGTTTGATAGAGATCTTACTGTCGGGGGTAGAGTTCTAGTTAAGGTAGGTATTATAGTTTTTAATTCTGATGCTTGACTTTGTTTCATACTGAATCTGAAGGGCTTCTTTCCTCATTATTCCAGTCAACCTAGCTGTAAAAAGGTGTGGATATTCACCGAAAGATCAATGCAAAGAGATTTGACCAAGAACCAGCTGGTAGACAGAATGCTTGTTAACCTAAATTGATATCCTTGTAAAAAAAAATGGTAGTTTTTTATGTTCTTGGACATTATGTAGAGGTATCCATCTAATATTTTGGTCATCGTTCATGATATTTTACATTTCAGAATGGAGATAAGATTGAACATCGTTTGGTTCACGTTCAACGACCAATTCTTCGTATACCACACCTAGCTATACATCTACAACGAGAAATGAACGAAAAATTCTCACCAAATAAAGAGACCCATCTGTAAGTTTTGTCATGTTCGGAAATATTCAAGTTGAATCCAGTTTGTTGTATACTTGAATAATATAAGTCTTGTCTCGAAATGCAGAGGGCGCTGCTCAGTTGAGACAGATCTGAATTTACATATTATACAACACTCTGATTAAAAACTGTCCAAAAGGCCTCATTTGCTTCAAAAATTGTTCAAGATTTTCATCCTTGAAAACATTATTTTTGCAGTTGTCCTGTTTTAGCAACTTGTGTACAGACAAAATTACACGGAATTGAGAAACCTGAGGATACTAATACACCAAGTATACTACAGGTCAGTAGTTATTTAAGGAATGAATGTGGATCTTGTTATCGTTATGGGGAAATAAACGCCTTATTGTCACGTGACAAACTACAGTTATTGGAAAATAAACGCCGGTTTGGCTAACTGGTTTATTGAAGGGGGTGATAGTAGAAATGTAAATATTAAACCTTAGTTTATATTTATTACTATATTAGATAAAAAAAATTCAAAAGAGATTTTCTAGTCATTTTATTCATATCGGACATCCTTTTTCTTTTACCACTATTCAAACCAAACAGTATTTGGTTATAATCTAGTAGAACTGATACCACACTTCATGTTTTTGATGTAGCTAGAAAATCCCTGTAAGAAGATTTTCGATTTTTATGTATATCAGGACTATTAATAGCTTTTATTTGCATCCTAATTTTTAGTCCAACGTCTGTGATTCCTGTAACTATAGAGATTTTTAAGTGTACCTGACATCTTTTTATTGAAGTTAAGTTTTTGAGAAAAAAGCTTTGTCTGTTAACATGTATTATAATTTTAGAGTGAGAAACACACCCCCAGTCTGGTAATCTTACTGTGTGAAGAATTATCAATACAGACGGAGAACCTGTTAGATTTTGAACTGTGCCTAGCTGATACCCAACCTGCTGTAAGTTAAAATCAAATGGAGTTTAACTCCCTACTTTTTGGCCTCTAAATATGCCAGAAAAATTCATGCAAAATAAATTTATGCTATGTGACAGCATAAGCATTTAAGTTATTTCAAATATCATCCTGAGAATTATGTTAAATAAACAGATTTGCATTAATGTAATAAAATATTTTTCAAGGCATTGGGTGGAATATTTGAAGAGTTTATTTTCGCTCCAAGATTAGACAATTTACTTAATGCATACACAGCAACTTTGGTGAGTATTTTACTTTTTTTATAATGATTACTCCTCATTATGACAGTACAGGTATTTGGTTATTGCTTTATACTCTTGTTACATTGTTATTAACCAATTCAAAGGGATGTATTCATCTAAATATTTGCTCATTTTGAAATGTGATTTATCTGTAGGTTTAGAGAAATTTAACGGAGTGCAGAAGTCAAATTTTGTAGTCGATACACATTATTCACGCCTTGTTTTTGAGACACTGAAAGCGAGGTTCATAACGCAAATTACCTCATCCAATGATTTTAATAATGTAAAATATGATTAGTTTTGACTTAGTGGGTCGTCCTTTATATTACGAGGAAATCATTTTCATTTTTTTGGCATGGACTCATGAGCTTATGAGACGAGAGACTAACATATATTGGTTGTGTAGGTTTATATCCATGAGAATTAATTTCTAATTTCGGAGCAATTCGTTAAAGTATATCAGAGTTAAAATTATGTTAATGTACGCAAAAGAGGATACAGTTTTAATCCCATTTTACTATTCAGTATAATTTCATTGTTTCAGGGTCTGATAGAATCATGTGATGCCAGTTTAGAATCTGATACCAATATCAGAATGACTTGTCTCTTTGACAACGAAGAGGTGATTATTACTTTTTAAATTTTTTTTTTTAAATTAAATGCATAAGCTTTTGGTTTGACAAGATTTGTGTTAAATTGGTTACCTTAGAAACAATAAGATTTGGATTTTTTTCTAAATTTTAAATGCAGTGTGCAATGGGTGTAATTTTGTCAGGATAGTGGCTATCTTCTCTTTTACGATTTCTAAGGGTTGAGGGATCTTGAACGATCACCTTCTATAGTACACAAGGCCTCAGTTCACTGTCCACAATCTGAAAACAGGCAGGATTTCAACTATTGTTCACTTGGTATATTGAAATTATTTTATCTGTATTAGGTAGGGTCACAAAGTGCCCAGGGGGCAGGGTCTAGTCTACAGGAGTTAGTTTTGAGACGGCTGTCCACCTCTACTAGTAATAGTACAGCCTACGAAGAATCCATACCTAAATCTTACATGTTGAGTGCAGACCAGGCACACGCTATTCATCCAAATTATTCGTGAGTCGATGATTATTCATAATATAGCGTACACAATCCTAGACATTAAATTCGATCCATGTTTGGTAGTTTTGAGAACTGTAACTATGACAAAGTAACGTAAAACTTTTGGTATCAAATTCCATCCATGTATTGTGGTACAATTACTGAAAATTTTATAATATCCTTGTACCACACACAGTACCAAAATACAGTTGAGGGGCAGTCTGAATATAATGAGGTTTGTGTAGAAGGGAAAAACCTACCCCTCAACTGTATTATGGTACAGCGTAGATGCTCTGCCAGAGTCCCATCTGTATATCAAGATTTTTGCTGAACAAAGCTCATTAATTAAAATTATAGCTAATTAGCCAAATATTTAAATTTCATTCTAGTGAGAAACACGAGGCCAATCACCAGCCTGGATTCCATAAAGGTATTGTGATAAAATTTAACGCTAATCAACGATACGCTACCACCGCTATAACTACGGCCATATTGAGAGAGATTGCTAGGAAGGTTGATGTACCAATACAGGTTTGTATTTAACTTTTCCTGTCCTGTCCATTTTATTTGCCATTTTCCATGGTAGATTTTGGTCCTGAATATATGTAAATAGTCTTCAGAAGTACTAGAAATGTACAAAAATAGCATAATTCCTTTCAAAAAAACCTTCAAACTAGGAATTTCTTTTCCGATTTCAATAGATGTATTTTCTATAAATGCAGTCTCTAGAAAAGACGAGTCATCTTTTTAACATTCAAACTCAGATAATTCTGGACATACATGGATTTGAAGGCTCAAATTTCGTGAACTGTGAACACATTACTAATTAGCTCAGCTAAAAAATTCCTTTTTCTGTGACAACTAGTCATACTGATGGTCCTTTAATACAGCTTTCCTTTCAGAGAATCCACAAAGGTAATATTCATCAGAATATGTAAATATTTTTATTTTAGGATTTTGTTGTACGAAACGACTCACCATGTGGATCAACTATCGGACCGATCATGTCTGCTAAACTAGGCATACCTACTATAGATATAGGGGCTCCCCAACTCAGTATGCATTCTATTCGTGAGATGGGATGTACGTCTAGTGTACAACAAGCTATAGACTTGTACAGAGTAAGTTTTAAACTCTCTATATTTTACAAGATTAGGTAATACCTTAAAGGGATTGTAAAGAGTTTTCTAATATTAAATGTGTCAGGTACACTGAGAGCATCCATGTTCACCATTCCACAGTCCGACGTCTGTGGTTCTTGCAATTCCAATTAAACTAAGTATTTTATCTTAAAATCTTTAATGGATTGTTCAGATGAGTTCATGAGGGATTACAATACTACTTTTATTATTTCAGGGATTTTTCCAGCACTATCCTCAAGTTTTTGAAAGTTTGAATTTTTAACAGAACAGATTGAGATATCTGAAAGATACAACTTTACACAAATCTTGGAATCAATATTTGTTTTTGTTGTTGCTTATTTTTGTATAGTGCTATATATTTATAATTTTTAATCACAAGTCTGAGTTATTACCCTATTATTAGTCGTAGCATTTTGTAATCGGAAGTATATCATCTCAGCTTTTCCAAAACTTTACCTACTGTTCCACCAATTCTCAATTTTAAAATTTATCTAAATTTCACATACATGAAATATTACCACTTCCAAAAAGATTTTACGAAAAACAGGGCCGTCATTTTTGTTGGTTCGTTTCTCAATTATGAAAGATGATCGTTGATATACTGAATAATGTCAAAGAGTTTGCTCTATAAAAATCATTAACAGGGTTCATTTATGACCTCTTGTTGCAAATTGTTCGAAGAGTGTATATTTAATCACTGTGTGTATACCAGTGATCAAATTGTAAATTTGTTATGGATTTTTTGGGTAATATTTTGAGTTTTGTTATCACTTAATTTTAAATATAATGAAACGTCATAAAGCATCAGTTAATATTGAATTTGTTATTTCTTCTTGGAGGTCATCACATCGTCATCTCAACACACGTCTTGATCACAGTCCTCATCAGCCACTTTTGGATTTGGAGATTTCCTGTGTAGAACTATAAACCACTCAGTAGCCTTGCCGTGAAATAATGAATAAGGTGAGGGGCAGAGCAGGGGCCACAATATTCCTGGGGGGCACAAGCAATTCTTTCATTATGTAAATGATAAACAATTAAAAACCGCACACCAAAGCCTCGCCAGCCCCCTCTTTTCTGGGGGGCCTTTCACCTGCCAAGTAGAATTGTCCCTGCTATAGACGTCTAACCAAACAGAGTATATCCAAGTATATCCAATAATATTTTATTTACAAATAACAATGAATATAATGTTAAAATAAAATATGTACACGGTTAGCTTCAAAAATTAACATGGGCCATTAAAAATAAATTTGAGGTTTACATTTCCGCTTATTAATATTATGATAGAGATAAAATATGACAAAAATATTATGAATTTAAAATCTGAAAAAATAAAAAGAAACTCGCATTGCACAAATTGGTATAAACTTTTATAATTTCAGATTAACTTGAATACAATTTATTTTTCGCTAACTATTATCAAGTAATTTACATCAGTACACCAATTAACTTTTACAATATTACCTAAATTATTTGTATTCCAATTTTTATTTTAAAATGAAACATTCATGTCAGACTAGCTTCGCCGGACGCCAAGTAAGTTTTGAATAACATGTATTATGAATACAATAAAGAACTAATTTAGTTCTGAACATGAGAGTAATAGCTCAGTCGGAAGCGAAATGGATTATCGTCTGCTAGGCGATTAGGTGCAGTGGGTTCAAATCCTCCTCAAGGTAAGAACAAAAATTCTGATGCCTTTACCAGTGTTTTCGAGAGTCTGTCTGGTGTCAGCTCTCGCACGAATACAAAGTAGTAATGAACACAATGTAAATAGCAGTTAAAATTACAATTAATTTGACCCAAATATCAAATGGATTTCTCATGTTTTTATGTTTAAATTGAACCAGGAAGTGTATAATATATTTGTAACTATAGATGTACCATAAAAATAAGTCCAATATTTACACAATATAATATATAATGCTGATATAATATGATGCTATAACCAAACAAGATGATTTCATATTTATACTTGAAATGGAAAAAAAAATGAAATGAATGGAGTTTTACATCCTACCTTTCTGCACCTTGAAGTGAATGTAGACATATTGATTAACTTGGGGACCATATACTCAAAATATTAAAATCACAAGAAATTATTTAGGAAGTACATAATGATAATAATCTCTTACAGAGTTAATAAACCTGCATCTTTCTTCAATTTCATTTAAATGGACATCCAAAATTATTATTTACATCACGGTCAAGGTCATTTCTATGGTTACAGTTGCTATGAAAAATTTGAATTCTTTACCTCAGAGTTTGGATAGACAATTAACTATAGGTAATAACAAATCTGGTCTGGTCTTAACTTAAGCTTTTCTACATCTATCAACCCATGGAATGATAAATTCACTACTTTATCCCTATTATATATTTACAAACCAGCCCGATAGACTCTGGGCTAGCTACGGGCCTGTTACAACACATTCACTGAATGAAAAAATTTTGATGTTCTTTATAGAAAGCCTAAATATAGCACTGTATTCATTTACTGTTCAATTTGAATTTATACATATAACAAAAATCAAATTTTGGGTCAAAGGTAACAGAGGTCAAGGTCGTTCTATATATGTACAAAGGAAACGTAAGGTCAAAATAGAATGTTAGACAAATCATAACCTTTATGCATCTGTTAGCTAGGGTCAAGGTCTTTCAGTATACCATGGGTCAGGTTCAGGGTCAAACATACTTAAAGGTCAAGGTTAAACGTAATTAATAAGCAATTTTGCACCAAGGCAGAGGTTAGCTTATTTATATCAATATCAGTCTATATACAAGAGAACACAACGTTGGAACTCCAGCTTTGATTAATACAAAAGGTCAAACAGGGGTCAAAATATTCAAATCTACAATGACAAGGTCACTTATACTATAGGTGTAATCTAAAGATTGGGGTTAAGGTCTTTAGGTCACGGCCAGTCTGTCTTTAGGTCACTGTCAGTCTGTGTTTAGGTCAAGGCCAGTCTGTGTTTAGGTCACTGTCAGTCTGTGTTTAGGTCACTGTCAGTCTGTGTTTAGGTCACTGTCAGTCTGTGTTTAGGTCACTGTCAGTCTGTATTGGGGTCAAGGTCAGTCTGTGTTGGGCCTTCGTCAGTCTATGAAGGGTCAAGATCAGTCCATGTTGAGGTCTGTTTTGGGTCGAGGTCTGCTTAATACAAGGTCAATTTTACAAGTTCTAAACATTTGAGTCAAGGTCAGAATGTAAGGGTCAAGGTCAGAGTGTAAGGGTCAAGGTCAGTATGTAAGGGTCAAGGTCAGTCTTGATGGGGTCAAGGGTGTTTAATATACAACGGAACATCAGGATCTGCGTAAATTCTTAAATGATCATCACTTGAGGACGGATTTGATTCTCTTCTTTCAAACTGTTGATGATTAAATATAGTGGTTCGACCGCCCTCGGTTTGTTTCTGAAAATTATAGAAAATATATTGAAGGATAGGTACAGGCTTTAGAAAGAATAATTCAATAATTTAAGTATTTTTAATTAAAGTAATCAATTTCTTTCAAATTTCTCTGCTGGGACTAAAACCAGATTGAGTTTTGTAGCAATGGTTGCTCTGGATTCAATGAAATAAAAGATATTGCCAGGCAAGGTAATATACGCCCACTGGCAGCTTTGATTTTAAATAAAAATATTTAGCAGTACAGTAGCAATCACCAGTATGAAATATTCAACCTTCAGTCATACACTTCTTTTGAACTCTTTAGGGCGATACTGAATGATATTGGGTGATTACGAACACTCACACCAAGTTTTGTCAAAATCTGTCAAGAATTGTGTCTTGTAGAGTGTTTACGAGCAATTGAGGACAGACCGACGGACCGATGGATGGACATGGGTGACGGCAATATACGCCCCCCATTTCATGTGGGCGTATAACAAAATACCATTCAAATTAATTAATACTTTATATCTTTATTAACTGCACGGTGTTTTGAGAGAGTCTCAATGAAAGCACGTTAAATCCAGTTTTTCATCTTGTATAGGGGAGTAATGTAAATTAACTATAATACAAGGAATATTGTTAGAAGTAAAACAGTTAGTTCATTCAGTGAAGGTAGGTGAGGTGGAGGGCAGAGAATCATCTTTTTAACATCTTTATTTTTCAGCAAATCAGCATGCTGTCAAATCTTTAAAAATGGATGGAGATGATTTTCAAATTTTATTTTTTGTCTTAAATCTGACTCTGTCCTTACTCATACCATGCATTCCGAGTTCATTTCCTCTTAAAAAGGCATCAAATTTTAGAAAAATGAAATAGAGTTTGATGTTTTTGTAGATCAGACAGTAAGGTAAATATCTAGAAGATTAGATCCCTTCAGACAATGAATATTCAGATGTGATTATTATTCTGAAAACCATCAATTCATGATTAATATTCACATTTAATATCTTCTTCAGTGATGATAGTTTTTGGATTTTTTGTGACCTATTTTTATTCATGCACATGCATTTTGGCATTTCTATTTTTAGATACAGCATGCAGATTCATACATATATATATCAAGCTTGTGATGATCAAGTGCGATGCGATATTTGCCCCCCGACCCCACCGACCTTCTGAGCCTGAATGTCAAGGTCAATACTAGAATGTGTACTACCATTTTCCATCATGGGATTATCCTGACCGTTCAGGGAAGCTCGCGGAATTCCTTTAAACGACGAATATTCCTCCATATTTATTGAGCAATGACGGGAACTCTTCTTTCGTTTTCTGAAAAGAAATAATAAATTGCCAATTATAAATAGTGTTTTAAGGTAGTTGAAGTGCCAATAAAATTTACGAACCAAGCAGGATATATTTCAAGTTGAGTTTATATGCTATGATATTTCCAAAAATATTTCAAATTATTTTTATATAATAATTACAGGTTGGAAAGTGTGTCTAATCTGAGGGTCCCACTAGATAACACAAGGGTTGTTGCCTTGGAGATAGGACTCGAACAACAATAATGCCCACAATATTCCACTGACTTGATATCTGCCAGAGGAAGAAGTTTAGAATTATTCAACTTACGTGCAAATAAGAACTAGAACCAGCAGTAGAATAAAACAGATTACACCCAGAGTAGCTGATACAGCTATTATAATTACTCTTTGTTCTGGAAATAAACAACATAGTTTGATAAGTCAAGGGCAATAACTCAAACCTTATCATCAAAAGTTTGAATTTTAAAAATTGCAATGTTTGAACTTGTTTTTCCTGCCACTTTCAGGCACACGGTGGAAATTAATTCGAACCATTGACAATTATTCCATTAACCTGGAGTTATAAAAATCTGTTCTTACTATGAGCTTCATCATCTTCATCTTGACAATTTACTCCCGTCCAACCATAATTACATCTAAAATACAGAATCCATACAATGACAAAGTCATGGCAAATTTTATTACATGCAGATATAGATGCTTAGTTTTGTGCATATTTGAATCATCCAAAAACAAAATACAAGCAAAACAATTTTGTTAATGATTGTTACATACAACTGTCTCAAACATACCTCAAAACATAGAATACATGCACTTCAAAGTCATGGTACACCTGAAATTCCTTTAAAGCAAAAGTGCAGACCTATATGCTTTATATTGTGTAGTACACAAAAATCATCCACAGAAAATATACGTAAAATTTTAATAAGAATAAATGATACTTGTCAATTTTCTGAAAATGTTTTTGTCTCAAAAGAGATTTAACCCACGGCACCAATTTGTTCCAAAAAATTGAATTATATACATATCCTTTAAAAATTTTGAAAATCAGAAACTTACTTGCAGGCATATTTGGCATCTCCCCAAACATTTTCACATTTGGCACCATTTTTACAAGGTTCACTGTTACAATAGTTCGTTACTGCAAAAAAACAACCCAATAAGTTAATATTCCACCTTCTCTATGCAAATATCAAAGTGCAATAAGTGTCTAATGCTTCTCTGAATGAACCTTTTGTTTGTGTCACAAATTCCCAGAGTTGTAGAGGGCGTGAATTTGATTGGCTGACAGTGTCATCAAACTGACGAATTAGACCCTAACTGAAGCGGCTAAATTAAAAATAAAAACTAGAAAAATATGGAATGAAAGTTTGGTAAAGGGCTGGCCAAAAAAAAAAATGCAGCAAACATTTATGTTCATTTGGTATCCTACCTAGAAAGTGTAAAGGATAAGAAACAACACTCACGTGTACATTTGGTTTCTTTATTATAAGAATAATCGGCAGTGCATTTACAGGAGTAGGTCCCGGGCTGGTTTTCACACTGTAACCCTTGATCACCACACATCTCTTGTATAGCTGTTTTATTATCAACTGTTACTAGGCATTCATCTATATCTATAATACATGATCAAATATAGCTGAGAGGGGGTAGGGCAGTGGTATTCATGTAATATTGGTGAGAGGTGAGTGAGATCAATCCCTAAACATCATTATTAGCTAGGGTAATAATGCTGACAGTGGAGGGTGGGGTCTTTTTAACACATAAAACCACCTTACATTCCAAGAATTATATATTGTGTTATGTAAACAGTTTCTGGATGGTTCATGGATTGGACTCAATAAAAAGCCTGATTTAAAAGAGGTTATAGAGTTACCTACCTTGACAAGCGTGAGTGAATTGATTCCATTTCTCGTAACCTTGACGACAGTGACATGAATATGTTCCACCAGATGATTGACAGGTAGTAGAGATTTTCTGACAGATATTATTGTCTGTTTCACATAGATCATAATTACCTACAAAATATAAAACATATTATTATTACAATACAATAGTATAACCAACATACAGCCTAAACTACAAAATAATGTTACCTTTCTGGCTATACCAAGACCATGGTGAAGGAGGATAAGATCTCATTATTATACATAAGAATAGACCTACTAGGATCAAAATATAATAAAAACAACACCATACAGTGTTCAATCGAAAGGATTTATTGCAGTGGAGCTCCAAAAGTATCAAGCAGTGTCCAGTATAGGACATTAGGTAATGAGCTAATGAAAGATCTGTAATCTGCACAGCTACAAGCATACTGCAGGGCCTTGATCTATTGACTTTCTTCAGTGGATCCCTGCCTTTTAAGAAAACATAATTTAGTCCAACAAGGTCCATCAGATGTAAATTAGACTAACTTTCAATTGTACGACATTTGATTTCTGATTAAAGTGAGCTCACTGGACAGGAGCAAGAATATAACTTACTGGAAAGAGTAGTGCTGTTTTTATCTACACCGATTAGGGTACCAAAGGTACAAGCTGAGTTTGAACAGTCCTTGAAGCCTTCTTTGAAGGAATCTTGAAGTGTTTTTTCTGGGATTTCTTTATCAAATGCTGCCTCATATTCTGCTTCTATCTTTGTTGGTTCCGCAGCTCGTTTCTTTCTTCTAGAAAATACAGGTAAAAGATAAGAATGTTATAAAAATGACTTGTAGAAATCTTGTGAAGGGTGAACACTTGTGAACACTCTTAATGTTCCTCACTCAAAAAGAGTCAATTTGTCATGTCATGGCCAGAACATTTCTAATACCAAAACTACCACTTTAGACAGCACACCAAGTTGTCCAGTCATGTTTCTATGAGCTATAAGGTGAAGGGACTAAGATGGGACCATAAAAATTGTAAGCAGGGAATGCCAGGCCAGTCTATTTTCTGGGTGAGAAGGGGGGACGGGGGTCGTCCATGCTTATGCTTACCTGGCACCACTGTCAGATTTCATCATAAACTTCACTACAGAAATTTTCATTAAACTCTCCTTTAATTCCTGATTCTTTTCTAACGTTTCTCGGAGCTGAATTAAACAGAAACAGAAACAGGTTAGACAAAATATTCTCACAAGGCAGGACAAGCGGTGGACAGGAGTTTTTGTTTTACACCTTGTTTGCTTCACCATTATGTTAACCAAGACAGGTAAAGCAATGAAGTGAGCAATGGTCATGGACGAAATTATTTTTAATAATTTAATCTGTCAATGAATCTTTGAAAAGGAATGTGTTTTATGTAGGGTCACCTGAGCTTCAATTTACCTGAGCCTCATGTCAAAACAATTTGAAACTTCAAAAAATAATATTTGGGGAACACAGGGTGTAAATAGAAAAGCCTGAGAGAGGCAGGGGGCAAATATCAGAGGTGTCTATCCAATTCAAGGCCTTGGAAAAATTTAGAAATTAAGAATTATGTGTTGAAGAAAACTCACTGATGTTTCCACTTCCTGTGAAAGTTGTTTGAACTCGGTAGATGTTTTATCTTCAAGTTTTGGAGACCAGACTTGATTCTTTCCTGGCACGGAATCAAATACAACAGTTCCTCCATATAACGCTACCACTGGAAATATACATCAGGTTAATTTATCATGTGAAATCCTCAAAATATATATCTATGAATAATCACATAATGCACACGTGGGCTTTTCTAGTCTGAAAGACTAAGACAATTTTTCTATAACAATCCGTACAACCAAGACGTTTATCAAAATCTCATCCAAATAATGGCAAAATCCGGAGTAAAGATAGTATAGTAGTGAGAGAATAGTAGAAAGAGAGAAGTGCTATCAGGTGTTTCGAAAAGAGTAAGCATGGTCTGCTTCACACACGATACCTGCCACTTCTATTTATGTCAGCTCCTGCAACCTGTATCACAGACAGGGAAGAAGCCAGGTTAACCAATCTGAATAGAGGTATTATATAATATCTACCTATTTCATGATTGAAACCCGGACCTTCATGATAGGAAGCAAGCATCTAGCTCACTGAGCCACTACTGTTCACAAAGCACTATGACAGGCATTACAAATGTCAGATGTCAGCTAAAATTCAACAAATATATTTTACCTTCAACGCATATATTGTTCTCGTTGCGTTTAAACATGGTACGACAGGGGCAGGTAAATCCTCCAAGCTCATTGATACAATATTCTGTTGTGGTACAATTATTACTACTTGGTTTGGTACACTCATCAATATCTGAAATAGATACATCAATAACACATTGGCATCAGAACATTAGGAGATGTTAGGTCACCCAGAGAAGTTGGGAGGTGGAGGAGGTGGGGGGGGATTTGAGGGGTTGGGTGTTGGGGGTGTGCAATTATTACCCTCTGGTTTGATACAGAGCAAAGGAGGGGCAGGTGCAACAGTCAGTAGAACCTGGTTTTGTACAGAATAGAAATCGTTCAGATGTATCATAAGATATTGGAGAATTTAAGTGAAGCAAGGGAGATGGCGGCAAAGTTGGCAAAATAATAATAAATGGCCTGGAAATACAGACATTCATCAGCTCTGCAAGTTATACTAGTTATATAGCAGTTCGTAGACAAATAGTGACATTAAATTTCAATTTTGAAAGGGGACACGGATAGCTAATGCTAATGCTAAGAATATTTATCTCTTTAATTAATCAAACTCACCTATACATGTTCCCATTCCATACAGCTCGTAACCATGACGACATGAACAGGTATAATTACCAATCGTATTACTACACACCTGATCACACTCATTATTACCAGTTAAACATTCATCAACATCTACAAAATAGTTCCAAATTATTATCAATAGGACTGTATAACGTATAGTGGCTTTTGAAACATTTGAAGATAGAAAAAATGGAACGCCTCCTTTAGTTGTCATTGGAAAATGATGGGACAATAAACCGAAGCCTCGTGTGCTAGATGTTAAATGTTCAAAATCCCTTGAAAGTTGAAAATCAATTTAAAATTTCCCTCAGAACACACTTAGGTCATAAGAAAGATAACTCACCATAACAATTGACACCATCTCCCATCAGACCTTCAGGACAGTCACAGGGACTCTCAGTATTACTGACATTACACAGGGCCTTGTTAAAACATTTACTACAGACGTCAACCTGTTCTGTTTGACAATAATCTCCACTTCGATTAGACGGACAATCACATTTATCTTAAATAGAAAAAATATTTCATATACAATTTCATAGCAACAGATCATCACAACTGTAACTACAAATATACATAGATGACCTTTTTGAAGTAAAATGGGGGCAGTGATGGCTCAGGGATGCAGACTGGAGAGGGTGGGGAAAGGAGGCCACATGTGATACAGGCTGTGCACATTCAAGATCTCAAAAAACCTGAAGTTAAGAAGAAAGCTTTAACCTGAATTTTCTATCTCTATAGAAACCATGCCACAACTTTCTGTTTTGTGATTTGTTTGTGAACCATTTTAACATGAAGAAAATGGCTTATACAAAGAAAATATTGAAACTAAACCAACCTATAATGTTGTCACCATTTTGTATACACTGTATCTCCGTCTGACAGAAACAGAACCGTGGTAACGGTTGATTGACAGTTTCCATTCCATGTTTATTTTTAGCGATAGCTCGTATATAAAAATCAGATTTTATTGATGTAGAATTAGCTGTGAAGACATTTTCTGAAAAATTGGTAAATAAATTTTTTAATTAGCACAAAGAATCTCTAAAAAAAAAAAAGATGATTTGTATCAATTTGTTCTAATATGAAATGAAATAGGTTTTTTTTGTTCTACCCGTCTGCTCCTTTTTAGGCTGAGAATGTCAACAAAATTGACATGTTCAGACATCATGCAGTGTGCAATGAGGGAATTTTTACTTGTCAAATGTCTTTGAAAGTCTATTAACATATCACATGAAGCCATTCATTAAATCTTTAAATTTTTCCATAAAGCAACTCTCCTATGTCTATAGATTAACTTACCGTCACTCAATGACCAATCAGCTTCCTTTAAACTAGTTTCTATGGTAACATTAAACTCTGCCATATCCATAAACACAAATTTTATTTCGAAATTATCACCATATTTAACATATATCAGATTTCTTAGGTAATTCTCAGCTTTAT